AAATGGTAGTTTTCCTACGAGTTTGAAAAGTCTCTGTTTGCGAACCGAGAGGTTTGCGGCCCGAGCCGAAGGCGAGGGACGAGCCGAAGGCGTAAAGGAGACTTTTCAAACGAGTTCCGGAAAACTGCTTTTTCGCCCGAGGAAGTACCAGCCTCCCAAAACCACCCGAGGGTGGAAAAAAAAATTTAATCAGTAAAAGTCTAAGAGATCAGTTTAAAGTTACGTTCGATCAAAAGTTGTTTGATTATTTTGGCCAAAATAATTGAAGTATGAAACGATCAGCGCCATCTAGCGAGACTGATTCTAAACTAAAAAAGAACCAGATTTCATGGGAAATAAACTCTCTAGCCTGGTAACTTTTTGCTACTGACTTTTTTGAAAACAAAAAGGGTCTGCAAAAAGGAACTTTTTAGTTCGAGATCGGACTCGCTAGATGGCGCTGATCGTTTTTCGCTATAGCTAAGCTGATTCTCTCCCCGCTCCCCTGAGCCCTGAATTTCAGCGCGGGAATTGTCACCCCAAACATTAGAACAGTATACCAGCAAGCCGGCTCTCTCGCTCTCCCACCATAACGCCATCAGCTACATTTCGTGAAAGAGAAAGAGAGAGAACAGAATAAATGATTCCCATTTCCCTCTTCGTCTTTCATCTTTTCAGTACAGCGCGTTGCGTCGATGAGTACGGAGCTTAGCTCTTTTAATTTGTTATATTGTTTTCTTTTTTTTTGTCGGCGTAACCTCCGGTAAAAACAATTGACAAAATTTTTTAATTTTACAGTCCACCAAGTGTATGTGTGGCTAGAATAAACAAGTGAAAAATCAACATAGGAAAAAAAAAAAAAAAAAAAGCGTTTTACACTGCATCGTGTTGTGCGCGCGTGCATTAGATTATAAGTTGTTGCTTGTCCGTGCGCAGCGTGTTACAGCAGCCGCCGCGGCGGCTGCAGCGCCGGTGGCGACGACGACGACGCTCTGGGGGGATATCCGAGCGTGAAATGGCGGAGCAGCTCGAGGCTCAGCCATCGCAACAGCCGCAACAGCAGCTACTTCGGAGTAGCACCAGGGAACAACAACTCCATGCACAGCCATCTTCGCCGGGACAGCATCAGCAGCAGCAGTCATTGTCGACAGCGACGACGACGACGACGACAGCTAGTGTGAAACTACCAGAGAGGACCGAGACCTGCAACTCTACTAACGTCACTGGTACCACCACCACCTCCACCAACGCTAGTGGTAGTAGCTGTAGTAGTACTGGTGCAACAACAACAACCGGCGGCAGCAGTAACATCAGTATTACAGCCGGGGCAATGGTATCGAACGGGGTTGGAAGTGGCAGCGGAGGAGGCGGTGGCAAGGGTTCGGGCGACGATGCTGATAGCCTCGAGGAGATGCCTCTTGACATCGGAGAACACTACCTTGTGCGCAGATCCGACGACTCTTGGCGTGAGTCACGCTAACAATATCTTTTCTCGGTGATTGGATTTCACGGTGCGATGACTAGCATGCTTCACCTATCCAACATGTGTTTAGCCGTGCATATACGATCATGCAATCCAGGCGTGGTGTGTCGTTGCGTCGAACGCGCGCGCACGCATACTTATTACTGTTAACCCAATGCCAGAGAGTGTGGGTGTAACACAATCACGTTTACCCCCACCCCTTTATAATTACTATATCCCCACAACCTGTCCGATCTATCTCTTTTGCGTTTTGCATTTTTAAACTAGCTCTCTTGTGTATATGTCCGCTTTTGTAGTTTTTGTATTGCCCTTTGGAAAGTCATCATCGTGCTTTGTGTGCTTGCGTTTTTAAAAGGCTCTGCTTCCTTACTATAGGTCACAGTTTTAAATATCATCTGGCTCCTTTTCTCAACGTTTTTTAGCTATATTTATTTTCTTTTATTTTACGCATATCACGTCTCAGCTGTGCCCTCTGTCATTGCTATTTATGATGAATAATCAGTACAGGAAATATTAAAAAGTCAGAAGTGGTGTTATTATATTTATAGTTTTTTTTTTTTCCAACAATATCTGTTCAATATACGGTTAGTCTAACTTATAACTTGAACAACTAAAAGTCGATGATGCACCTAAAGACGCCTGAAACATTCTGGTATACTTTGAAACTAAAAATCAATGATGCTACAACGATTTAGCAAAAACAGTAGGTTTTCTTGTTTCATTTTTTCTTACTTGTTATATAATTTTGCATCCTGTCAGATTCGTAAATCATTTTGTTACTAACGTTTGTATTAACTAACGTAAAGTAATTGATTGTACTAACGTTTTTGTGTGGTTTAGTATGAATTAATTAATCTAACAAAGAAATCCCTTCACTTTAAGATAATGTATCAAACATTTTTTAAATTCATGTTTTTGTCATCAGATCCAGCTGAAGTTATCCAAACACGTTTCAATGAAATTGAAAATCACTACGAATATTACGTCCACTACGAAGGTTATAACAGAAGATTAGATGAATGGGTTCCTAGAGACAGAATAATGAACAGCAGGTTTGATATGAGTGATCGATCTTGGAAGAATGGCGACAAAAATCCATCCATGGACTTGTTAGCCGATTCGACAGATAGAAAAATAACCAGAAATCAGAAAAGGAGGCATGATGAAATCAATCATGTGCAAAAAGTATTACATCCCTAAATAGTTGGCAAATATGCAACTTTTTTTACATAAATATGTTCATTTGATTAATCAATAATTATGTTTTAGACTTATGCTGAAATGGATCCTACTACGGCAGCTTTAGAAAAGGAACATGAAGCCATCACAAAAGTCAAGTACATTGATAAAATACAGATAGGTAAGATCTCTATAGAAGCAATATTTTTATGAACGTAAAAACAATATTAATGATAATTTTTTTTTTTTTACCATTTCAGGCAAATATGAAATTGATACGTGGTATTTCAGTCCTTACCCAGAAGAGTATGGAAAGCAGCCAAAATTATGGATATGCGAATATTGCCTTAAATATATGAGATTGGAAAAAACCTACAGATATCATATGGTACTTGATTAGTTATAAATGTCTAATAACTTTTTTGTTTGAAACTTTTTCCATCAGCTCATGAAAATCTTATTTTTCAGAGTGAATGCACACACAGACAGCCTGTTGGAAAAGAAATTTACAGAAAAGGAACACTTAGTATATGGGAAGTTGATGGTAGAGAGCACAAAGTGTACTGTCAAAATCTCTGTCTACTGGCAAAATTATTTCTGGATCACAAAACACTCTACTTCGATGTAGATCCCTTCCTCTTTTATATTTTATGTGAAGTCGATAAACATGGCGCCCATCTAGTTGGCTATTTTTCAAAAGTAAGAAAAAATGATTAAACAAAATAATTTCATGTTCATTGAAAATATGAAGAGAAATTAATTTATATGTTTCAGGAAAAAGAGTCGCCTGACGGAAACAATGTAGCATGTATTTTAACTTTACCACCTTTCCAGAGACAAGGATATGGAAAACTTTTGATTGCCTTCAGTTACGAGCTAAGTAGGATTGAAAAAGCTGTAGGTAGTCCAGAGAAACCCTTAAGTGATTTAGGAAAACTGTCTTACAGAAGTTATTGGAGTTGGATTCTATTGGAAATCCTGAGAGATTTCAGGGGCACTCTTAGCATTAAAGATCTAAGGTACCAAAATAGTTATCTTTATTAATTTTTCTTTTACGGGCCCTTAACTCTCCAGTATATTAATGATTTTTGTTCATCCTTGTCTCTATTATAACATCATCTATCTTTTCCATTTTTTTTTTTTTTACTAAAGTGGTCTCTAATCACTAATCAACCGTGGACAACTATTATCCTGTTGTCTTTTCTTTTCTCATATGGATATAGAGAATTTTATCATGACAGTCATTTTTTTTCATTCCAGCACAATGACCAGCATTTCACAAACGGATATTATCTCCACCTTACAAAGTATGAACATGGTGAAATACTGGAAGGGGCAGCATGTAATCTGTGTGACACCAAAACTAGTTGAAGAGCATATTAAGAGCAGCCAATATAAAAAACCCAGGCTAACAGTAGATTGTTCAGCTCTTAGATGGGGTGCGCCTCCACGGAAAAACGTTAAACAGAGCAAAAAGTAAAAAATTTACAATGTCCTACAACCAAAGCTGATGTCATATATTTATAAAATCTACTTGACTGTTCCTGGCGAACTTAACATCATAATTTGGTAATGCTATAGCGTTTTACATCGTGATATATTGAATCAATTTATTAGAGTGTAAAACTTTAATAACAAAGATAAAAAGCTCATCGCTAATTGTACAATAAATTTGAAAGCTTTTCAAGCTTCAAAACCGATCATTAAGGATGATCAGTATTAGCCGCATTACTAGCGATTTTCTCATGCGAAGAAACGAAGCGTTTGTTTTTCTTTTTTTTTTTCGCTTTTGATTTTCTTACAAGTAAATTCTGGCTGTAAATTTTGTTATATATTATATAAGTTAATTGTTAATTTATCAACCGATGAAATACATTTTAAGATTTGTAAATAAATTTTTAGAAATGTAGAAAATAAGTTTAATTGTTAACACTGCAGTCATAGTTTTGCGGATGATCTATGAGCATCTCTAGCCAACTCAACAGCGTATTTGGAAGTACCCGGTGCTGTACATATGCCGTAACCTCCATGTCCATAATTGTGAATAACCTTTTTTTTATAAATTAAATAAAATTAATGAAAAATTGTGAAAACAACTATTTTGCGTGCCCTTAAGTTTTTATCGTATCCCATCAGTGCACTCTTATAAAAAAAATTAAAGTTCTCAGCTTTTTATAGAGTACAGTACAATACTTAAACATTTTAAATTGTTTTATCAATGCACTGGAGCCACGGCACACTACTAATTTACTTTCCAACTTACCAGAGCACTGCACAGTCCGTCCTTAATTCGTTCAGCCTCTACTCGAACACCGCCTTCTCTGTGTGGTCGCAAGCCGGTTTTATGCTCAATCAACTGTGCAGTCTTCAAAGAAGGAACTAATCTTTCGCAGCGATCGCGAATCGCGGCGGCCTGATAAGGACAGACGGTAAGATCCGAGCACTCAAAGTCCCGGATGCCTCCAAGAGTTGCTGTGCCGTTTCCGTTGGGAATAATGTACGTGTTGATTTCGCCGTAAAAAAATGTCTTCAACCACGGTGCTCGGACCTTTTTGTGAATTTTCCTTATAAACTTTATAGGTATTGGCCCGCGTCATATATTGTCTGATCAAGTAAAAGTTACCTTGATGACTTGTCCTTTGATGGGGACCAATTTTCTGTCTTGACAAATAGATTGCGATCCAAGCCCCGTACAGTTTATCACAAGGTCGTAATCTTTAGCCAGTTCTTTCAAAGATTTCACGGAATATTTTTTCAACACAGCTCCAGATGCAGTTAGTCTGCGTGAAATTTGAAATTTAATATTTCCACATTAACGACATTCGCTCAAAGCGTTACTACAGCATACTTATTTCTTGCCCACGGCAAATATTGATTGGGCTGAGTCAACAGAGTCGATAAAAACGATCCGTACTTCCAGTTGCCGCCGACCAATTCGATTTCATCGTCAGTGACGGGTCGATAAATCGGAACTAATTTCTCCATCAGGTCGTTCTAGAATTTTGATGCCGTTGAATTTTAAACGGAAGCTGTAAATTTGAAAAACAAATTTTTTTTTTTTTCGAAACCTTGACGCTCTCAGGAGAAGTGTTTGCAAAAATATATCCAGAAATGCTAGTAACACCGGCTTCCGAAGCTTCCCTTGATCTGCATATTGCCTCGTAATAGTGGTAAGAATCCGAAATCCATTTTCTACATGCGATAATTAAAACACACAAATATATTGTTAATCAGTTGATAAGCCGCTACTTACAAGAGTTTCTGTTATCTGTCGGAGTTTTCACTCTCCAGATATACTTACGTAATTACCAGCTTTGTTGTAATTATCAATTTTAAAAATAAAAATTAGAAGTATGTCTATTACACATTTACCTTATAAATTCAAATAGTAAAAAAGAAAAAACCTCGTGATGCTGTCGGTAGGCCCGGAAAAAGTGGGGCTGACGCGAAAAATACCCGCGGCTACATGGCTGGTCGTTTGCTCGAAGTTCTCGGCGAGGACGTCGAGGTGGTGATTACGGAACTCTTCCTGCACAGCCAGAGCTGTCGTCAGGCCCACGCAGCCTCCACCCAAAATAGCAATTTTCATCTTTTTTGTTCAACAAGTATATATTTACATTTAAATTTAATCACGACCACATCTGTTTCACGCTAACTAGTTGCTTTTATCAAGTGACTGAAGTGACGCATACGTACTGCTTTGTTGTGTCATCTCGGCAAATGGAATTGGTGTTATCTAATCATCTTATTCACGTTAATATTATATGCTGTTGCTGCAGATGACTGTCGATTGTAGATACAGAAATATTTTTCCAACGCATGAGAGATAAATAATGCAAAAAATATTTATAAACTAATAGTCGGGACCGACTTTTTTTATTGTTATTATTTACACAGTATACATTTGTATTAAGCACGAAATTTCGCTTAATACCGTTATGAATACGTTACTAAAATTTTACTTTTCTTAAGAAAATTCATCTACTATGATCAATAGCATTCTTAAAATATAATCAAACGATGAATAAAGAAATAACAATAAATCACGAACAGAATACAACACGTTCGTTTCAAATGTGATTACATGCGCCAAATGGATGCAAATCGTCATTTAAAAAAAAAAAAAAAAAAATCAATAATAATGTGACAAATGTCAATGTACAAACAATCGCTGAAGCAACAAACAGGATATCGTATTGCTTTGTATGAATATAGTGACTATTTACATGAAGTCATTTGTGTACCTATAATATAAATTAAAATTGACTATCGCTATGAAACCAATACTTTTCGGCTTTCTTGTCTCACACAAGTAGCAATGAGTATACAGAAAATAATCCAGAGTAAATTTACTTCGTAAAAACTTGTGTGATTAATTTAAAGTGTATTAAAGACCACTATTACAGTTCAAGTGATCTTTGTATCATACTTTTAAGACATAAAATAGGAAAAATAATTGCGTACATACAAATTTTTTTAGAAGTAATAGAATTCGAAAGTATTTATTCTTCACGACTTTTAAAATTCATAAGATCTTTTATAAGCAAGAACCAAAAAGTCTGAAGATTCAGTTTGTTCAAAAGATAATCTTTGAGTTATCTTTTCAACTCAAATAACAAAATTATCAACGAAAAAAAAATGTATTTTCTACTTTATAAAGTCTCTCTGTGGCCTACCTGCCATAAATAAATCACGGATTAACGAAAGGAGTTGAATCCATATAATAAACCAGCCATTTTCTTCGCACAGTCACTTTGCGTAATAGCACGTAGCCTAGTAAAAGTTGACTCGTTTAACATAATCTGCACGTACAAAACTTAAATACGCGAGATGACTTTTACCAGCTAGTATGAGAAATGTGCGTGTTTCCTGTGGTCTCTGACGCCAAACTAAATAAAAAAAGTGCACAGAGTCCTAGGCCTTGCTGCACGGCTGTATAGAATAGTTAAGTGGCGGAGGCGGTACGAGTAGAGGCAACGGCGTCGGTGGTGCTTCGGTAGGTGGCAGCGTTGATGCGACGTTTGAACTTGGAACGGTTAAGGAAGTCGAGGTGGACGATTTTGTACTGTTCGTCGACGATGGTATGATCGAGTTTCCATAAACCTGTAGGTAGCTTGGCCAAAGATGAGGAGGTGGTGGCGAACCTGGAGGTGGTGGTGGTGGCGAGCGATCGTCCTCATCTGAGTCCTCAAGCATTGCCGACAATGGCGAGACTTTTGGTTTCTTCAGTTTGATAATCTTTACCTTTTGATGAAATATGTCGATTAATATAAATTTCTATCAAGGGCATAATAAATTTCACCATCAGGTGATTAAATGTACTTACCTTTATTTTCTTCTTTACTTTTGGAGGCTTTTTCTGCTTTTTCTTTAATTTTTTAACTCGCAATTTTTTAGAGATATCAAGCGTTATATCATCTTTAGGTATATTCTCCACTGGTGGCGGTGGAGAAGGCATATCTCCTTCGTTACCACTGGGATCTGTGCCTTCACCTGGCCTTATGCCATCAGCAAATTGCACTGATTTTTTAATCTTTGTCTTTTCTAAAACTTTTAGGGCAATTGTTGTCAGCTGCAGCTCATCAGGCTTTTCCACGTCCTCTTTTTTTGTTTCTACACCTTCTAATTCATTCAATATTCCATTTGTCATAGAAAGATGTCTGAAAATACAATATGCAAAAAATAAGATACTATGCAAAAATTAATAATCTAACGCTTAATTACATTAATATTAAAATTACCCAAAGCCCGGAAGTATGAGAATGCCTTTAGCAGGTGGTGGTAGAATCATAGCTGGGTTGACTAAAACTTCTGTCTTGATTCCATCTTTGTTGTCTTGGTTGTTAAACTCTTCTTCGGCTTCCTGTTCTTCATTGTCTTCTTCCTCTTCTGGCTCCGGTTCTTGTTCTTGTTCTTGTTCCTCTTCTTCTTCTTCTTCATCTTCGTTATCATCATCTTCCTCGCCAACATCTCCATCCTGAGCCGACGAAGTCGCTGCTTCACTTTCTTCGGTTTTTACAACGACCTCATTTTTCACAACCAAATTCTTCAACTCATCTAAATTACCATCTTCGGCGCCCGTTTCTTCGTTCTCATCTACAGAATTACCCACGAGACTTGCAATTAAACTATTGGTTGTGAAAACAGCGCCACTCGAAGAAGCTAAGCTACTTGGATTTTTGCCGAGAATTTTTTCAGCGCGTCTCTTGGCTCGCTCGAAACGACGACGCTCTTTTTCTTTGTGTTTTATTTCACGGACACGTTTGCGCTCTTCCTTTTGTTGACGACGAAGCTCAAGGATCGCTTCGTAATTGTAAGTTGGCTGGATTATCGGTTCAGGAGGAGGTGGCTTCGGTGTCGGAAGAGCAACAGCTGGACTGCTTTGAGCTGCAGGTATGACAACCGTTGGTAATGCTTTGACCGTTGGTGGTAGAACTACCGGGATCACGGAAGGATGTGACAGTGGTGAAGCCGTGGCAATAGCTGGTGACGCGTTGGGAGTAACCGTCATTGGTGTCGGGAACCTTACACCTGGCAACACTACCGGAGATACTACACTATTTCCCGTTGACACTACTGGCAGTGTATGCTGCTGCTGCTGCTGCTGCGGTGATGGCTTGGTTGGCCAAGCCGTTGGTATAACCTGCAACACATCGCCCACGCGAAGTATTTGATTGGCAGTTGTAACGGGTGTCGATTTTTCTGGCCGTTGCGGGTACTCCGTTGGTACAACCTGTAGCACATTGCCCACCTAAGAAAAAATTTGTTCTCTAGTTACAGAAACAGTCACTTGATTTTAAAGTATGACTGAGTAAAATGTATGATTACCTGTAAAATCATTGGTTGATGTCGTCCATAATGACGATGATGTTGTCCTGGAGGTACATTTGGATACCCGGGAATATTAGACATAAAGCCTGGAGAATCAAAGTTTGCAGGAGACTGCTTTTTAATTCCTAGCTCAAGCTCTAGCCTGTCATCAAGGGACAACCGTTTAGGAGACGCGGACGGATCGTCCACAATCTTTGGATAGGTCAAATTTTTGCTCTGGTAGTAAGTATCATACGGAGCTTCGCCACCAGTTTCATTGGAGTAACGATAACGTGACGACGATCTAGTCGACTCGTCGATAGTCAGGCCGATAGAAGGAATCTGAGAACGTACAGGTGGTTGATCTTCCTGAGATTCACCAGTGAGTTGGATGATGGTATCATTGCGACGTCTTATTGGCGTTATGCAGGATGACTCGCCCACTGAAGTTGGACGAAGACCTTCGTTGAGGTGCCGAATATCTTCCTCTTCAAACTTGAGGAGACGGTCTGCCGCAGAGGAGTATCGGCTTCTAATGGGCGAAAATGATCTGTAAAACAAATACAATGTTGCATCGCTACTGTGGTGAATATTAAACCACTAGTAAAATAATAATTACCTAGAGCGTCGAGACTTGTCGAGCGGCCTCAGATCGTTTCTGTACCGCGACCTTTCGAGGGACCTACTCCTAGATCTAGACCGGGATCGCGATCTTGATATTGATCTCGTCGATCGTGACCAAGACCTCGATCTTGATCTCGATCTCGATCTCGATCTCGATCTCGACCTTGACCGGTACCTCAGTCGTCGTTCTGGTGGCGACCGCCGCGATAATCTTGGTGGTGAAAATTTTCTCGGCGGGGTTTTTCTCAGCGGAGCTAGTTTATCGCGGCGAGATAGGGGGGAATCAGGCGAACGGCTGCTTCGTCTGTCTCGCCTGATCTTTCTGGCACTTGAATTAGATCGAGGATGACCCTTATCCCTATCCAAGCTATCGTCTCTTCGTGATTTACGATCATAACTGTATTCATTTGCATATGAACTAACTAAGTGAGATTTTGTATCGTCATCGATCCGTGACCTGCAGATGTCAATAAATTATGTTAAAAAGATATTTATTTTCAAGTCTTTGTTAGAAAACGCATATCTTACCTAGTACTCCGGCTCTTATCGCTTTCATAATTTCTTTCTCTAAGGACCTCCATAGGATCATAATGCTTATCTCTGCTTTTGTTTTGGTCATGGCAATCCTCGTATCGTCTTTTGCTTCGATCGTTCTTACTTACTTGTGAACTTTTCTTTGAATCTGTGGGAAATAAATATTTTCACTTAATCATACAGGTTGTGGATGAAATAAAATTTCGTACCTTTGTAAGAAGACTTAACAGGGCTCCTTTTGTCTCTTTTATGCTTTGATCTATCATCTTTTTTCCGAGGACTTCTACTTCTACTTCTACTTTTACTCCTACTTCTACTCCTGCTTTTACTCCTACTTCTACTGTGGCTAGTTGTATGACTAGTTCTACTGCTTGATTCTTTTGATTCCCCAGATGCTGTTGGACTCTTCTTTGAACTCTTACTTTGATGTTCTTTTTTATCCTTGCCATCCTTTTCGGTGCTCTTTGAGCTACTTTTGCTACTTTTACTTTCGACCTCACGATCCTTGCGACTTGGGCTCTTTCTCTTAGGTGGTGGTGACTTGGATTTTGGAGCAGTAGGCTGTATATCAACTACTGGTTTTTTACTCTCAACTACCAGCTTTGCACTCTCAACTACTGGCTTTGTACTCTCACCTGATGACATTTTACTCTCAACAGCCGACTTTTTACTTTCGACAGTTGACTTTTTACTTTCAACTGAGGACTTTATGATCTCTGATGCAGGCTTTGCACTTTCAACAGCAGGTTTTGGCTTTTCTTGATTATCGAGATCACAGACTTTTTTCTTGGTCACTTCGGATGAATCAATAATGTTAGGGATAAGTGACTTGGACTGTAACTCACTGGCATGCGGTCGAGATAGTACCTGCTTTGGCACAAACTTCAATGCGACCTTGGAATCTCCGTTTGCCGGTAGTGACTCGGTTTTTATTTTTTCAGTGGATTGAGATGAAGATAAGCTAGTACCGAAATTCATACTCTCTATATCAAGGAATACTCCACCAAAAGAGTTATCTGCAGTCTCGATTTTAGATTCGATGATTTCAGCGAGCACGGGAATGCCAAAGTCCGAACCGTCGTCGATCGTCGTTGGCTTGCTTTCCCATAGCTTATCTTCTATGACTCGTTTTGTTACTGCATCTTTTGATTTTAGCAGAGGAACTTTAACGTCTTCAGTTTTCATATAGGCAATTTTTTGAACTTCTGGTGGATCAATCTAAAAAAAAATATTCATGAGTTAAGTTTTTTTTGTAAAATAGCATTAGTTTAAATGAACAAAGTTATTTTGTTTGATGCTCACCATCTTTGGTGGAGGCTCCAGATCCATAGCATCTTTATCTACAACTATATGTTTCAATTCGTTAAGATTCTTCATTAAGTCAGAAGAAATCAGGTCCTCATCCTTAGCTGACTTCAAAGCTTGTTCCAGCAAAGCAATTTCTTGCATTTTACGGCGGAGCGCTTCTGGTGAAGCAATGTCAATTTCAGAACCTGGTGGTGGAGTGAAGTGGAGAACCGAGGAGTTCATTTTATCTGGTTCATCCTTGAGGCGAGAACTTATGGCCTCGAGTAATGGACTACTGAAAGAATTTTCATTAGACTTCTCACTCAACAAATCGAGTATCTTTGTTGTTGAAGGTGACAATAATGACCAGTTGCCCTCAACTTCCCACATGACGGCTGGGGCATTTTCAAAATCCTCCACCTGATTTTCCACATCCCAGCGACGTTTACGGCGTGTTGACTTATCCTCTACTATACCACTGCTACTTGTAGCTTCACTTGTCTTTATAACTGTTGAGTAAACGTCACAATTACAAAATCATATTTCATTATGATGTTACAGTAGAATAAAGAATTTCTTACCCTCTGTTGCAATACTTGGCTTTTCTTTGGATTCCATTTCGATATTTTTCCTCAAAGACATCATGAGCTCCTCTTCCCTTTCTGCATCTTCTTGCTCATCTTCCCAAATGCGAATGGCACTACTACGCTTATCCCTTTTCTTTTTACCATCCTTTGAACTTTCCACTTCCACTGGCACATATGCATCTGTCTTTCTGTCATACCTTAGTTCCTTATCAACCTTTTTGATCTTGGAAATATTCAACAAATCTGTTTTAACATCGTGGGCTTCTATTTTTATTGCTGGACCCGTCGTAGAGTCTGGAATCGCATCAAGGCTGTCAACCTCCCAGTCATTAGCAAATATATCTCGTTTCTCGGATACTTGCTGTTCAAGCTGAACAAGAGAAGGCATATCGAAATCTAAGGTAGTCCAGTCTACCGTGGACTTTTTTTCAAGATTGAAGTTGTCATTTTTTTCAAGTATGAAATTTTCAGTTTTTTCGAGGATATAATTTTGAGTCTCTTCATCACTCGGTATAGATTTTAGCGGGAGCTTGTCACCCAGAACCCAGTTTTCCGGAATAACTTGACTTTTTATAATCTTTATTTCATTGTCTTTCTTAGTCTTCTTGTTTTTTTTGTCATCATAGTCACCCATTACCGCGATGTCGGTTTCATGCTGAACAACATCTTTTTTTTCCTCCTTGCCCTTACACCATTTGCTGTCCTCCACTTTATCATCGTTGAATCTCTCTTTTTTTTCAGAGACATCCTTAGATTTGTCATCTTTTGATGTCTGCCGAGGCACATTATCGCTTTCCCAACTTGATCCCTGACTGTGTTCACTACTTTGGCTCTTTGACACAGCTGGACTTCCTGACTTTTTTATCTGTTTAGCTGTCATCAACTTCTCCGAATGCTTATGCTTGTTACTCTTGCTACTCGATTCCTCCTTAACCTTCACCGCTTTGTGATGCTTAGTGTCGCCAGACTTTTCAGACTTGCTCTTAGACTTTTCCTCGGAGCTGCGTTTTCCTTTTTTGTCCTTCTTCTTTTTAGCTTTGACCTTCCTTGAGCGCTTCTTTTTAGGCTGTTTAGCTTCGGAATCACTGGTGCTGCTCGAATCCGTGCTAATCTTTCTTTTGCGTTTGCGTTTCAGTTTCTTGCTGAGCTTCTTTACTCGCTTGCGTTTCTTTTTTTTCTTATCAGACTTCTTCTTACGTTTTTTCCGTACCTCCTCAGAACTAGAGGATTCACTCGAACTCGAGTCACTACTCTCAGAGTCGGTGGTCGATGCCTTACGTGACCTTTTGCGTCGGTGCTTGCGTCGTTTCGACTTGGCGTCCTCGGAATCCGAACTCGACGAGGAAGAGCTCGAGTCGCTGCTGTAGCTATCACGACGCTTGCGTTTCCTTTTCTTTTTGGATAATTTGCCTTTCTCCGGAGCTACAGGTTTGGAAGCAATGGCGTTGGTGTCGTCCACGTGAATCGAGACTTCGACATCGCTCACTTTCTCCTCCTTGATTTTTACGTTCTCCCAGTCACTGGGAATAGAACGCGAATCCCCATCCTCTTCTTCATCTCCGTCATCTTCATCTTCATCGTCGTCATCGTCGTCGTCGCCGTCATCTTCATCGTCCTCATCATCATCATTATCGTCATCGTCTCGGTCGTAATTTTCCATTTCGAGTCTCGAATATTCGTACGCCATAGGCTGCTTACCTTGAACAGGCACCATTAACTCCTTAGGTATATTTTCAGTTTCTTTAGTACCAATTATTTCTGGCCCCAAACTTTTCACTGATGTCACAACAACACTGTCTTTTGATACACTTAAATCCTTGCTGGATATGACATCGGAGGACCTAGGCACATCATTTAAATTGAAGCCAGGCTTGTAACAATCTTTCGAGAGCTTTGACTCTAAACTAAATTCGTAGAAGGTCGACGGCGACGAAACAGCTGACTCCATACCTGACGGTTTATCCGACTTATTTGTCTCCGTGGGATCAACGCTACTAACCATTTTTATGAACTGCTCGTACTCCGACACCAACTTGTCGTCAGCTATTTCAGGATCTGGTGTTGTTTGTTTGACACTCGGCTGTGGAGGCTCGGCACTAATTATTGTCGCCATCGCCGTTGTTGTTACCATTGTTGGAGCTGTTGTGGTTATTTTTTTTGTCTCGACTTGTTTTTCTTCCTCATCGTGAGCCTCAACTACCTCCTGCACGTGTTTATTGCTTTTTTCTTTGCCTCTGTCCTTGTTTTTTTCTTTGTGACGATGGTGGTGGTGGTGATGATGATGATGATGTTTATCCTCGCGGTTATGGTGCTTGTCTTTCTTGCTTTCTTTGCGCTTCTTGCGCTTGGGCGACGAGGGCGACGGTGAGCGCGATGCCGAACGGGATCGCGAGCGCGAGTCCGAAAGTGGATGACGCTTAGCCTTTTTGTGTTTGGATTTTGATTTTGTTACAGACTCGTCTGATTCTGAAATAAACAAGATTAAACAAGGTTACAGTAACCAAAAAATTAGGAATATTTGGTAATATTTGTTTGCCTATTTTTTTTGGCGGAAATAGTGATTAATGAAAAATAAAAAATTACCTTCTTCCGTTGCACTTTGCTTTCGTTCTTTTGATTCTGGTTTTTGATGCAAATTTTCTGACATTTGTGGCACTGGTGATACTGATTTTGATCTAGTTTGCGACTTCGTGTCAAACTGTGGTGGTAACTTTTCCAACTGAGTTTCTAACTCGGTTGAGGTATGTTCAGTTTCAGGAATCGGTTCTTTGGTCAAAACAAAATCATCCAGATTTACAGCTAGAGTCTCAAAAACGTTATCATCGTTGTCGCTTGATTCGTTTTCACTGTCCCATTTCGATCGTGGAAAAGATGGCACATCGATGGAGGATCTTACGGATATTGATTTTGAGGGATCCATTGTTTTATACCAAAATCTCTCTTGATGGCCTTCTTTCTCCGATGTTATAATCCTATTCAATTGATGATAGAAACAATAAAAAATACAACGTGAAGTGTGAAAATTTGTTTTCCTACGATTTAAAGTAGTCCTTTATTTACCTTATTTGGGTCGCTTCGCAAATGTCTTCCATTTTTTCTCGTCTTTGAGGCGACACTGCATTTAAAATTTCTTGACGGTTAAAAAACAATGAATATCGTGGATTTTCGCAATAAAATATGGGAGGCTTGTTCTTTGTTGTTCTGACTGTTTCAGGAGGATATTCTTTGTTTCCATTTACACCTTCAGCCACAAATGCATATCGTAACTGTCGATTATCTGAAAGCATTAGCATCTGCTCAAAATACTGATCAAACTCTTGTGGGGATCTGAAAAATAAAAAATAAATAAATAAAAACAAATTTTATTTTTAAAACAAACAAAAGTTTTCATGTAACACTTTTTTAATTCCTGCTTTAAAACTTGCCTGGTTTTATTCAGCTTCTCAAGACTTTCACTTCTTCTTATGTATCCCACTTCGTCAATATAAAAACCATATCTCCGGAAATCTTTCCAAGAACGACACTTGAGCAATTCCTTCTCTCTTATCTCCCTTAACTTATCTTTTTCTCTGTCACGTTCCCTATGCACTTTTGTTCTAGGCTCTTCACGCTTCTCTTTAAGATCAATTCTTTCCGATTTTCTGTCCCTTGCATCATCTTTCTTAAGCTCCTCTCGCTCGTCATTGCGTTTGGCCTCGATTTTAGGATCCTTTTCCTTGGATTTTTCTAATTTCACCTCCTCTTTTTTACCTGATTCTGATTTTGAATCCCTTCTGTTCCTTTCTGATTTTGATTCTTCCTTCTTTTCTGGTTCTTCTTTCTTGTGCTCGTTCTTACGTTCTCTTTTATTATTTTCAACAACTTTGTTTTCTTCTAATTTATTTTTTTCTTCATAGCCTGCTTCATCTATTTCATTTATCTTTGTTTCCTCACTTACAACTTCAGCCTTTTTAGATTCTAAGATGAGTTTTTCTTTAAATTCCTCACTTTTTGACTCCTTTGGCTTACAATCAAGAACTGTTTCTTTGATATTGTCCAACTTAGGATCATCTTTTTTGGTGTTTTCGTTTGCCTCAGAATCAGCCTTTTTATCTTTTTTTTTGTTCTTTGTATCCTCAATTTTGCTTGACTCTGATGACAAATCCTTCGGTTGCGTTGGTTTTTTGCAATCATTTTTGGCATCATCAGCCTCAGTGACCTTCTTTTTATGTTTATCAGTTGATTTGGAGTCTTCATCTTTACGTTTCGAATCGTCCCGCTTGTGCTTAGAATCGTCCTTTTTTTCATCCTTATCTCGCTTGTCTTTTTTTTCTTTTTTCTCCTTGTGCTTGCTTTTACTGCTATGGTCGTCCTCTTCTGCCGACCGTCTACTCGATCGTTGCCTCGATCTGCTGCGGGACTTTCGATCTCGACTACGTTTTCTGTCCCTATGTCGTCTTCTGTATGGTGATGTGTCCAATCGTCTTCGATATCGATTTTCGTTACGCTGTTCTTCTTTTAACTCACGGGCTCGTTGATCACGTAGTACGTTTTGCACGTTTAAGTCTTTCAGCTCTAAAATTTAGATATTGAGGGTATGAGCTGACATAAAAACACATCGAACAGTGATAAAAATTACAAATTTCAGTACCTTGAGCTGCTAATTTGTTTTGACTCTCTTCCCTAACAATTTCTTCTATGGCTAAAATTTTTTCCTGCCCTACAAATTTAATGATAAAATAGTCCGTTATTGTAACTGTCTTTGCCTTAATGACTTAAAAAATTAAACTTCTATTTCAAAAACTTACTTTTAACTTTATCACTCTTTGTTTTTAACTTATTGACTTTTGGCATTGTATTAAATTTGTTGGCAAAAGCCATGAGTCTCTTTTTTGCTTGAATTTTACCAAGCACTGGTTTCCATAATTTTGGACTTTCAGTCTTTGCCACCTCAGTGCTTGAAGTTTCACCTTTGGTACTCTCAGGAGTCGCTGGAGGCTCAATGTCCTCCAGCTTAACCTCAATAAGAGCTGCATCTGTGATTTCTGCACTTTCCTCTTTTGGTGAGGATTCTGGAAGCTGTATTTCACTAGCATCTTGAATAGATAAGTTTTAATTTACAAATAGTTTACTCAAAATGGAAATATAATTTATTTTTAACAATTTTATACAAGATGACATTTTTTCATGAAAAATTTATTAGAAAAAATAAAGAACTAACAAAGTTTTCACAGTGACGTACCTTGCATCTTGATGCTGATCCTCCCTTCAATGTAGTAATGAATTCACCAAACACTTCAACTTCATGCCACCAGCGCATACAAAAAAACTTTGACAACATGCACCTACTAGAAATAGTGTTTGGCACATCACAAATAAAACAATGATGTTGTTTTCATATAAAATAACGAATAAAGTATGTTAAAAACATTGAAAAATTTCGTTGCAAAACGAACACTTGGATCAGGTTCAGGTGATTCAGTAAGCCAACAACATTAATTGGGCTATAGCAGCTGACCATTTAAATAATAAAAACACGAGCTATTGTAAGTGCACGTATAAGTCTTTGACATTATAATAATCTCATCAGGTCAGCTGGAGCAGAAGGCGCAAAATACTTGAGAGTGTGCGGTCTGCGGCGTGTGGTCCTTGCACTCACCAAACTTTTTCAACAACTCGCTCTATGGCTCTAGTAACAGCATACACGTAGGGACGGTATTATTAAGTTGCGGCCACGACGATGACAACAAGGAGAAGAAAACTGTTCTGGATTCAGGGATTTCTGAGTCCCAAGACTCCAAGACTCTCTTGACTCTTGAGAGCAAAAACTCCGGCAGATAGGTAATATTTGCACACACACCCATCGGAGTCGCACCTGTATCGTCGCTAAGTAACAGTCTTTTAACCCTCTTTTCTTTTTTGTATTCGGTCCCCCGTTTCCGTGATGGTGATGCTGTCTCTACTTACGTCGACGACGACAACGGACAACCTCTGAACCTCGACGTCGAATGTGCATACCGTAACCTCTACTGCAGAGTACCTTCCCTTGCCTTTCGCATTTATTCCCTCTCTTCCATGTTTTTGGGTGTGTGGAAAACTGGAAAACTGGTGTCAAGATTATATATACATCATATACATAGTTATACAAACACAATATGCGTCTGAACTCTGAACGTTACGTATGCATGTGGGACAGTCTCTATAGGTTTGTTCAAGCCAATTCTCGGTGAGACTCCGAGAGACTGACTGTCCCCGAGAATGTATATGCACACGTTAGGTTAGATAAGTACAAAAAGTAAACAGAAACAGAGTGTCTCCAAGTTGGAGTGAATCTACGTATAGGATTTTAATTTATCTAACCTAACGTGTGCATATACATTATTCTCGGGGACACCGGGACGACCGGGACACTGGGACAGTCAGAGACTCTCGGAGACACTCGGAGAAGAACACTTGTTCATTCCATTCTCGGAGCCCATCAGAGAGTCTCTTCGAGTCTCACCGAGAATTGGCTTGAACAAACCTTATAAGCAGCAGCCGACATCTTGGTGTTGTATATATATGACTCGAGTTTTTTTTCCTTTTTTTTTTCAAACCACTCATCTAAAAAACTCAAATGTTGGCAAAACTGATTGTGAATCGGCATCACTTTAAAAATTTATAAGAATTTAATAGAAGTATTAGAAATTTATTACTCAACATAACTGCTGATCAATAATGAATTATATATTGTTAAGACTAGATGTTTTTTAAAAATGTTTTAAAACTGTTATTGAAAGTAAAGTAAAATAATGACGAAGTTGCTATGATTTTCTAAATACTTTTTTTTTTTACGTATTCTAAAGTATATGCTTTTCATACTTCAATTGTTTTTTGCTTCATCAATTGTCGATTTGTCAACAAGTGCGATCACCATCATCTAGATGAAAATATAAAATCGCCCGTTTAGGCATCTTAATTAGTTTTAAAACATATCTATGTCTTTCAAAAGTACCAACGTAACGCAGATATTCATATTTGAAATAACACTGGACGTTTTTGTTGCTCTTCGTGAAAGATATTGACATGACCAAGAAATTGATAGTATAAAGTGTATTTCAAAACAAGAAAATGATTTTACTCTGCAGACTGTTTACGTATTTATTTTTAAAATGTAAAAATGACATGTGAGATTTTTTAAAGGCAAAATTTATCAATTTTTTTCTGCATATAAAAAAAAAATTATCTTGAAAATTTACAAAAACTTTTAAAGTTTTTAATAGTTGAAAAAATATTCATACAGATATTTTTAGGGTAACAAAGAAATTTTACAAGTTTCAAGTGGATACAGAAGGTTAAAATAAAGGATTTAAAATATCCAAGACCACGTTCATAGTTTGGTCATCAACTAATACGATGTCGAAAGCCTCTTGATAAGACGGCAAACACTTTTCAACCTAAAAATTGAAAAAAAGCCAAATACAGTTAATTATATGACTTTTCTCGGTCTTCCTAACTCCTCCTCTTGTAATGAGTTGCGAAACAATGATGGAAAAAGGTAACTTAAAAAAAAAACAAATAAAAAAAATGTCTACAGAGGAGATTAAAAAATGCAAGGACCTGATGGTACAAGATTTATACAGGATCAGCTCCCAGCTACCAATCGATACTTTCAAGTAAATAATATAGATTACCGTGGTAATGGTATAAAAAGATGTAATTAGAAAACTTTAGACATATTTAAACAACAATAAAGTAAAAATCATTTAAGTTTGACAAAAAAAAAATAAAAAATAAATAAATAAAACTTACGTGATCGTAAAGAAATCCAATTCTGAGAATAGTTTCGGTATCTTTTACTCCATCGGCCATTGTGGCATCACCTTCTGCATCACCCAGTAGGACAACATTGACACGTCCCTGAATGATTTTAAAATACTCGTTTTCAAGGGCGTGTTCATTTTTGTTAAACGGATGAATTAATCTTTGCGGATTCTCAAAACCTTCAAGTATTTTTCCATTAAACTTGAAGAAATTTGAGATCAAGTTAATGTTATCCATGTAAACTTCTTGTTGTTCCAATTGGATTTTTATGACATCACCGAAACCGGCACTGAATATAAGTATGGGAACGCCAAGAGCATTTAATTTGGTGAATAATTCCTTTGTCCTATCTCGCAGTGAGTTACCATATTTTTTGGTGACTTCGTCTATTTCTTTCTTGTCAAATGGAATTCCTTTAAATGTATTATGCTTTGACGCGTACCAATCTTCCATCGCCTTGACTTTTTCCTCTAGTGGAATGTTCGGATTTATTTCTATGGCTCTGTATTTCTCATACGATGCTTCTGCTTCTTTTTTGACAAATTCGGGAAGTTGTTTACATTGTTCAAATATGCCTAAAATAAGAAAATAATTTTAATAATTATAATAATTTATTTGGCTAAAAGCAAGTTGTGCAAAAGTAAAACGATCCTGTACAAAAAAAAAAAAAAAATGCAAAAAAATGCAAAAAAATGCCAAACGTATGCAAGTATTTTTACTAAGAATTTCGAGGCATCCTCTTTGAAGAAAATTTATCAAGTACTTAATCGATGTACAATGTATGGAGTAGTTTATTATATTTTTGAAAGTTACTTATATTAAATATAAAATATCTGACAGAATTAACTTCGCAAAGGCATAAGAAGGAAAAAATTTTAATACCTTGTAGAAAAAAAAAAAAAATAATAATAAAAAAAAAAAAAATATTGAGGTACATGAAAAATGCATTATCACAGTAATTTTCAAAATAAAAATAAAGATGTAACCGAGATAAAGGAGTACAATCATATTACCGGCACTGGTAAAAAACGGCACTCCATTTTCGTGTTGCTTCGTCAGCGTGCGATCGAAATCCGCCACTAGCTGCAAAAATATAAATCTCACCCTAACAAGAGCGACAAAATAATAGCGCGTCTTTTTATTTTTAGCTTTTAATGTTATTTATTGTGATTTCACGGTATCGAAACTGTTCAAGTGTTCACTGATAAAAAATAAACTATTAACAATGTCAAAGCAAATTTTTAAAAAACGTTGAAGTTGTTTGCTGCTATTTTATAATTACTGTTTTTGAATTTTATCTGTTGATAAAACCATCAAATCGATACATTTTACTTTTACTTTTTTAGCGTTACTTTTGATATATAATGCACGATAAATCCTTAGGTGAAATGCAATAACAAAAAGTATTGTAGCGGACACGCTCAACGTTTTAAAAATGCTATAAATCGAACATATAAGTAACCCATTTCTAAGAGATCGGCAAGATCGGTAAGGTAGGGATACAATGAAAATTGGATCGGAACTGACAACGGAAAATATAGGAAAATCCCTCCTGAATTCCTGTCAATGATCTGAGACTGAGACAGTCAAAACCAAGAATATAAGTATATATCCATAACCACACAACCCTTTTATGTTTAGAAAATAACCAAAAAAGAAAACAATTTAGAAATGACAACTATCCAAACCTGCAACTTGTTCGCGCCGTCTCTGATGATTTTGTTGATTTTTTGAAGAACCGTTACCCTGTCCTTCATATAAACATTGGTGGACCTTAGCGACAACATCTAAAATGTCACCCGCATTTTCAAATATTATTTTAAGTACAACATTAAGACAAGTCACATACTAACTAAAAGAGGACCGATGTTTTTTTGCGTGACAAGAACAATATGAGAAATCAATGAGAATTTTCTTCTATTTTAATAAACAAAATATCTTGTTTATATATATGCTATAAATAGTGTACCTGACATATTGACTAAAAAAAAAATATTTACTGAGTACGTTTGAAGGGTAAACTCACATTCTCGAGTGTTAATTCGTCAGACATATTGAAGTTGTGCAATATCAATGAATGTTGATAACTTTCGACTCAAATAAGCTTACGCACGTGGTTGTGATGATGTAAATAATGGCTCAAATGACTCATAACATAACCGAACTTGTTCCTCGTAGTACTTCAGGTACCTTGGGACAGTTGGGACTGGGACCTAAGAGTTCCAAGAACTTACGCGCCTCTCCAGGCGTGGTAGTGCAAGTAATTACTTTTAAGATTGAATTCACTTTGTCCAGATTCTTATGTACCTAACTATAAGTAATTGGAATATTTATCTGTTTTTCATTAAAATATGGGTTTTTTCAGGGTTGAATATGGGTTTTTTCTTTCTCAACAAAAAATACTTTGTATACATCATCATACATTTTGTTTTGTTAGAAAAGGTTTTTAAGAAATCTATTGTTGGATTTTCTTCCAAAAAATTGGTTCTTTAATATTTTACGGTAAAATACTTTATTTGTGCATAAAAAATAATGTAAAAATATCAATATAAAAAATCGGTGTTCATTTAAAAATGCCATTTTGCCAAACGCATGAGACTAGAGTTCTTGGAATTCTAAATCGAATAATTTTTGAATCACATCGTCCATTTGAAAATCGTCTGCAAGCTGTGCAATTAGTTCATCAAGGAGTTTGTCTGCAATCCAAGAAACAATGTCCCAAGGTTTATTTTGAGTTGTGCTAGTATACATGGGATAAGACTCCAACGTGCAGTGATATTCTTTTCGATAATTGACTAGGTGTGATACTGTCGATTCAGATAACAGTAACTCAAATACTGCATCGTTATTCAAGTGATTAGCTTGACAGCTTGCATTATTGTATTTTGTAGAAGCATCAAAACCTTCAAAATTTGTTAATTTCTTTTCATCATCTTCGTTGGCGCGGTAAGAGATTAACCGCATATTTTTTTCACCACTTATGGTTTCATCTTTGGCTTCGTATCGATTAGATTTAGCTAGAAAATAATAAGATTTCGTGTTAAATAAAATTAATAAAAATAATTACATGATATTTCGAAATGGAATGCTTACATATCTTGTATTTAATATTATCAATTTTTTTGAGAAGAAAAATGAAACTTACAAGAATTTGTTTTGGGTTGACACAACTGAAGATACTCGTAAATTTTTTTCATTGAATTTTTTGGGATTGTTTTTGTATTATCTGGATCACTTTCAACCAACGACAACAAGTTTTCTACCATGGGCAGAAGGAATGAAAACCCTTTTTCTCTCTCATTTCTTTCGATTTCGTTTTCATTATTTATCCTACTTTTCCGCACTTTTTGATATTCTTTGGTTATTTTTGAGTTATCATCCTTTTTGTGCAATTGTTCATTAGAAATTTCATATTTTCTACTTAATTTTATTGATATGAGGCTTTCTGCATCTAAGTCCTGCTGAACGGTCTCCATCATAGTTTGTATCTCATCTTCCTTCACAGGCACATTAATTTTGTTAACTTTCATTCCCAACGCTTCGCAGGATGATTTTGCAGCAGGCTGGGTATTTGATTTTTTAAATAAGACATTCCCGGATTGTTTTCCTGACGCTTGACTGTGTCTTCTTGGCACTTGGAACATGTTGCGAGTATGCTTGGGCAGATAGGCTTTAGCTAATTTCATGTCCGTTGTATACATATTATATCGATTAGCCGCTGTTTTTCGATTTCGCTTCTTGTTAACTCGCGACGGTGTTGCGATTGTTGATTTGGCAGAATGACTGGGCACTTGGGACTCGGCACAATTACCGGAATTCGGTCGAAATTTTGATAAGATCGCGATGCATCGATTTTCCGTCTCTGTACCCAAGAATGTATCTCTGTCATCCCCTGAACAATAGATGTCAGAGGTAAGTTGAATGTCCAAACAAATGTTTTTGAGCTGCACCACGACTTGAAGTATGTTTTTGAGTTTTCCAGGATGATTTTTCATCACTGAACTTGGAATGTGCTTCCAATAAGCACTCAAGGCAGTTAACAGTAGCTGATGAGCACCAATCAGTTTTTGTTCAATGGCTTGCATATGCATTATGACTGCTCTTCTACTTAGTCGAAAATTGCTGTCTGGAGCTGTGGCTTTGATATGCCTTTGAATGTCGGAAATTTGCCTACTGAGATCATACAAATAGTTTCTAGACAGTCTGGTAGAAAACTCCGCCACACGTTGCTGCCTTCTGAGTAAATCATTTTCTCCATCTGGCAGGGGAATTCTGTCAAGCTCGAATAATATAGAATCCAGAACAACGGAAATTTTTTTTTGAAGGGCTAATATTTTGGATACAGCAACGGGATCCGGATGAACAGGAATCGAGTCGTCATCATCATTGCTGAATCTATCTGGGCTTATATCAGGACTAGAATGATAATTCAAGTCACTGTTGTAATGGTAACATCTGCATTGAACCCTATCATTTTTGAAAGTTCGTGCCGAACAAGATTTTCTTATGTCAGTAAAATTTGGCCTATGAGAATCTGATGATCCTACAGCATGATAGCAATTTTCTTCTTCTGGAATGGCCAATAAAAAATTGTTACTACCAGTATCATTGTCTTTCGTTGGTGGCGAGTCCTTTTTTAAAGATTTACTTGAATGTTTCTCCTGAAAATTATTTATTTATTCATCAAACAATGTATTGTATATTGGTTTCAGAAAAAATTGTTATGATAAATAAGAAAAGAAAAACTAATTTCTTTCACTAACATTATCGGTTCTAAGCCGTGATTCCAGCAATGAATCAGATTCTAGTCTCATCAGCTCTCTGTCAACTTCTTCCAAGCTTTCAGCCAGTGTACGAGTAGATTTGTACTTTGGTTTGTTGTCAGCATAATCCTGTTGAATTGATTTTATGTGCTCTTGCTCTTTTAAAAAAGTCGTCCAAATAACTTCTTCTTTATTTTGATTTCTTTGTCTCTGCACATCACGAACTACGTGTTTGAATTCTTTCACAGGAACATGCTGGAAATTAGATTATAGACGGTTATTCAAACTTACAAAATTAACAACAACTTTGTCGACTAATGGAAACGCGTACGATGTGATGTGCAATTGGTAAAATTTTCAAGTTCACAATTTCGGAAAAATCTCTTGCTAAACAACTTATGATCTTAGGTTTTAAATGTCAGTTGCAATGGTAAGTAAAACAGGGTAAAATGTATTAATGACATTTCCATACGCACCTGAAAATCAAAATCATTTCCATCCTCATCGTCCGCAGAACAGCATGATTTTTCTTTGGCATCGCAGCTCAGGTACTTGTACTGCTGTGGCTTGGTCAGGCACGACATCATACGCATACATACACACAAAAGTGTACTACTCTCGCAGAAGATATACAAAAAAATATAACCAGTGCGTGTATAGGTTATGTTTACTTTTGTGTTTACCCTGCTTTCAGTACAATTGCAACAGCTGAAAACTCTCGCAACTACTTATTCGTGGCTACAGTAATAATCATTGTAAAATATTTTACCATTGAAACCATAAAAGAGAAAAAAAAATAACCGGTCGCATAAGAATGTAAAAAAAAGTTTGCGTGTTTTCGAAAAAAATAGAGAAAAAAGGAATGTGACGTCACGGATAGGGATGACGAAAAAACAGTTAAACAGTGCAACGAAACAGGTAACAGAACACTATATAATTGAATTGATGACAACAAATTAATACTCTTGAGGTCAGACAATGTTGGTTTTTATCACAAAATTTTTTTTACTTCCTTATACGCATTTTATTATACGTAAACTCTATTAATGGGGTTCTCCAGTAAAAAACTTTTTAGAAATCTGTTTTACATTTTTACTACAAGTCTGTGCCTGCCTAAGCGGTATTTAACTTCTGTATATTAATCACCGCGACGTTAATGAAAATATATATACTCAGTGTCCCATTAAAATGTATATTTTTATGCACTTTTATATTAGGTACACCAATGGTCTTTGATGGACACTTTGTGGTCTCTAAGCGACATTCTTGAGTAAACAAATTTATGTACCCTAATATGTAGTTAAACATGAAAATTTAATTTGTTTGATAAACTTATGTGAGTAAAAAAAAATTTTTGTGAAGTACTTAGGAGAAAGTTATTTTACTGTAATATTATTTGTAAACTGTATTGCTGTTTTATTAGTATAAGATTATGAATTGGCATTAAAGTTTGTGATCTTATAATATGTTCATAAATTTCTTTTCGTGTCGCAGTATGACCAAAAATAAACATTTTTACCATCAGCACCACGTACAAATTTTGCTTAAGTAATTATAATCCTTTTGTACAAACTTTAGAAGCATTGACTGTAGTTATATGCGTGATAAATTCGAACGAAGAAAAAAAAATTGTGGCATTTGTAAAACTGCCTCTCCTTGCGATAACGAATCAAATTTTTGTTTATCTCAGCTGTTTCGTTAAGATAAAAGTTTTTAATTAAAAAATGCAGAAACTATCGTGATGCAAATTGAAAAACTGTTTCTTTTTTTTAAATTAAGCGTAACTCTTAAAAAACAGATAAGACGTGAAATCAACACATCGATTGACGTATTTGCAGCATTTAAAAAAAACAACGTGTATTTATTCTGTTTTATTTTACATTCGTCGAAATGCATATACATATATTTTGTTTAGTATTGCAGATAACTATACTTGCCGATTTGAATTTGTGAAAATCATAAAAGTTATGTGCTAAATCAATTATCTTTTTAAATCAATGCCTTGGTTAAGTATAAAGTTTTTAAAATAAAGTTGAAGTGCATTCAATTAAATATGGTAAAACAAATATTAAGTGATAGCTAAACTTTTCCAAGTTACGGTTTATTTCTGAAAAGCATATGATATCTACACAAAGCACGTATCTATTCACCATGTACACCTACTGATATCGCAGTGGTTACTGTTAAAATACCTGATAAAATATTCTAATTGATTCTAAAAAGCTATCAGTTAATTATCTTCGTCGAGTGTAATTTATCAGTTAAAAGGCAATGCACAACTTCAAGTGTCGACACAAAGATTGAACAACTACGATCCTTCCTAATATGGTTTGGTGGGAAAGTTGTAAATTTTTAATCCTCAATTCGACGTGGAAGACTTATAATTACAAAACGTATTGGTGACAATTGTATTTTTGCAGTAAGAAAAACAACCACACTTGCAAAAATATCACGGTTATTGCAAACGAAACTTCTTTCCCTAATTACAGCAATTAAGGCACTTTCTTCAACTGTGGTCGTTCACGTTGTCTTTGTTAGAAAATGATATACGGTGCCTACAAGTTGTAACGGCACAAAGGACCCTCCAGGCGCTATTTTACGATAGCGGAAATAAGTGTCGCGTCGATTTCTGTTACCACGAAATCATAATGTCGCCGCATTTTGTAAAATAGTAGTTAGGATAATGCTAATGTATACTTTTTGTGGCTTTACATGTCTTCGATACGAGTATACTTTATATTGAAAAATAAAACTCCCACTGTGCAGTTTCTTAATATAAATAATTACAGGATATCATTGCATACTATTAGGCATATACATAATTTGTGTGCATAGGTAGATTTGACAATAGTTGATTAACGGCTCGATTCGACTTGAATAAAAAATTTAGTGCAAAATGCAGAAAATTCGTTATTTTCGGTAAATTACAATTACAGAAACTAATATATTACCGACTGAATATTATAGTCTTGAAAAAAATTTACTACATAAAATGAAGCACGACACAAGTGTAGCTGTGTTGACTTGGCCAAATCGCGCCTCGGAAAATTGAGCTTGCACACCTCGTTTGCCGGTTCGTACCCAACGCGGGCGCGTGTCTGGCCGTTTTATCGATAAATGCTTTTATAAATAACTCGCACGTTATACCGTTATTGTGTAGGTGAGCGCAAAGGCTCGACAAAACGCGGAAGCTTTCGTTACACGCGTAATTCAATATAACGTCACTCTTGCATTTACATATATACGTATACATATGTATATATTTATTTATTTGCACGCAACCAAAGCAGCTCATTATATATTATTATGTCGTTGATATCGATTTTCCATTCGAGACTCTTGCTCGATTTTTTACCAGCCAATGATGAGGGCTTACATATAATTTCTTTTCATTCGAATCGAGTTGTTATTGTTTTTTAATTCTCTACACAAGATATATACATGTTTACGCCTTGATGATTCAAAGTGTATCGAATTTTTTAGGATTATTGATATACAAGTGATTAATACACCGAGGAAAAAAAAAGGAAAAAAAAAAATGTCGAATGAGCAAAAAAACAAACAAGTCCCTGAAACGGAACACCAAGAGCCGCGTCATGGAAATTCAAGTGGAATTTTAGATTACCAAGAAATAAATAATTCAGAACGCGACGCAATGAAGGGGGACACGGTCGGCGAAACTCTATACAGCGCCAAATGGATATTAAACTCTCTCCTATCGCTTTCCAAAGTACATAATATATGTTGCATGAGCTCGTTCATTCGATCATTTTGTGTTTTTCTTGTGACTTATTTGAGCGCGTAACTACAACAAAAGTTTCTTTATTTTATTTTATTTTTTTTTTTTCTCCAGGTATACGAGGAAGGCTGGAACGAGTCAATAGAAAATGAATTATGCACGCTGTGGGACATGACGGCTGAAAAAGATGTAGTTGAATTTTTACTGGACCAGGAATTTTTTAAGATGGCAGAGTTCACCTTGAAAATTTCGGAAGAGCCAAGACTCACGGTCTGAACGTGTTGCCAATTAAAAAAAAAAAAACTATTTATTGATCGATGAGACTTGGTGTTTTTTCACTTTTAGGAAATAATTGTCGGGATCGTTGGAAATATGTGCTGTCAAGCAAAGTCCCTTCAAGTCCTACTTAATTCGGAAGAGTTGGTTTCGTTGATCTTGTCTCTCGTAACATCTGACGATAAGGAGACGTTAATCCAAGTATTAAGGATATTACAAGCCGCATTGTGGGACGTGCAGAAAAATCCCGAGTCCCTTTGGTTGAAAAAAATTCAAGAGTGTGAAATAATCGGCGAGGCGATAACTTTTATTTTAAAAAGTTCAACGAGTGGTGATTGTTTTTTTTTTTCTTGCTCGAAATTAAATTTTTTCGGTAAATTTTGTAACAAAAAAAAAACCCCTTTTTGTATCCCCCAGACGAACTTTTGACACCTACGATCGACCTAGTGTATTTAATTTCTCAAATAGAGCTGCCAAGTAATGATTTATTGGAACGTTTATTTAACATTGATCAATTGGTGTTTGCTCTTTGTGAATCGATCACAGAATTAATTAGTCAAGAAAAACATTGTCACTCTGAGGCTCAACTTAAGAACATCGAAAGCTGGTTTAATATATTATTCAACATTATGGAGTTGAATTTATTAAAATTATCGGAGAGTGCGGATGACGAAAACTTCAACAAAATCAATAACGTGCTAATCAAAATATTAGAACCATACGAGGAATCGAGTAATTTAATGTTACTGGATGAACAGAGTTTGTTGTGCATACATCGGTGCATAAAATTGACATCGTCTTTTCAAACGAACGAAATGTTTCCACCAGCGGAATTGATTCACAGTATACTCAAAGTCACGATCAATCTCAAAAGAGGTAATGCTCGCAATTATTATCATACTAATTTGTTATAATAATAATTATAATTATAACTGTTTCGTACTCAGCTTCGTCAGAGCAAGATTGCAAAGATACCAACGATTTCAAAGATCTGTACCTGTATGCTGCAAGATATTGGAAAGAAACGTTGGAAAATATTAATAAACAAGAAATTCTAAAAATACTGCGGCTCTGCCAACCAAAAACTGTGAAAGATATTGAAACAGTAACAACTATCACAGAGTCGTCTTTGCACTCAATTGATAAGTTTTTGGAAGCAAAATCTATGTTGTCTTCTATTGAAGATAATACACAATTAGAGTTATAACTTGTAAAAATAAGTCTCGAGATAATATAGATTTTTCGTAAAAAAAAAAAAAAAAAAAAAAAAAAATCAATTCGTTATTTCACGGACAAAAAGCAATTGATTGAATTTTGTTTTCGAAACATCTTCCGAAAAATGAATCAATATTATTCCACTCGCACGCACGTTAGAAAATAAGCTCGCGCGGTATCTCGAAAAACGTTTATTTTGCACATAGGATAGCGTGTGCGCGTCTACACTGTTAAATGTAAATAACATCGCACAAATTGTGCAAGGCCTCTCTCAATGTATAATGATTAGAAAGAGCCCCAGCACGTACACTCAGAATTGAGCTCTCTCTCTCTCTCTCTGCATGACGCGATAAGATTATTTGTTTACATCAGTAAGTATGGGACGTCGTTGTCGTACAGTCGTATCAATTAGGTATTTGCTCCGAGGAGGGTCTTTCGTCGTTGTCACCCGATGAGAAGCCGAGATACCTATATGTATATGTATGCATGCTCATATTCTTCTATGTATTTTCCACTTTTGCTCATACACTATGAACCCTCGTATCTTTCACGTGCGTCATATTTTATTTTTATTTAAAAAAATCCCTGGCACCTGGCACTTTATTTTATATGTGTGTTTCCGTGCAGTTGGCAGCGCTGTATTTTGGCAAACGACTCGACTCTATCGAGAGATCGAGAGAGAGAGATGTGTCGTTTCCATGGCGCCGTTAAGTTGGCAGTAAACAGCAGCTGCTCCGAGAGCTCCGAAGAATAGAATTAGAACCCTGGCACATTCCTTTGCTTGGCTGCCTTTCATCCCGTTCAGATCAACAACAACAGTACAATCACTACTTATAATCGAGCGCCCAAATAAAGAGAACTCTAAGTAATAACGGCAGTGATAAGAAACATATTTAGTATTAAACAGGCCCCCCCCCCTCCCAAAATTACAACTACAACAGCAGTCGTAACACCATCACCTAATAATAAGTAAAAGCTGCCATCCCAGCCCATCGTGTTATCAGTGGAGAGTACGCAAGCAGTGTGTAACTGTGTATAGTGCAGTGCATACTCGGTCACGATTTCTCCCGACTCGTATCAGGGGCCTTATCCTCTAAACGTGTTGGCAGGCGATATAGCCAATACACAGCTAAAGGAGCTTGCTGATTGGTCGAAATTGACTGTGTTGGCCTGGTGTCAGTTGTGTGTTGTGTCACCCACCGACACACTTAGAGGATAGGGCCCCAGTTGCCGTTGAGCGCGAGGACGGTGACGAGCTCTCCTCAATTCTCTATTGTGTGCAGTGTGCTTATTTCTTGTCTGCTGGAGACAGCAGTCAACGAATTGTTCCGATCGTGCGGGCAGTTTTCCCTGCCTCCATCAGGATAAAGCTTCTTCGGCACTTATCGGTGCAAGAAGAGGATCAGCAGCAGCAATCATTTCCGCCACCGCCTTGCGTAGTCGTGTCACAATTCGTCAATTCCTCCGCATCATACCATCGATTTTCCACAACTTCAGGATGCCTAGAGAATTAACGCTCGAGGATGTAAGTCTTTTCAATTGTTTGCAATTTTTTTTTTTTTTTTTTTTTTTTTTTTTTTTTTTTTCCTCTCTCCTGTAAATCGCGTCAAGAGACCATTTTTTTCTGTTTTGTTTCTTTGAATTATGATGTTATCTACATATAGCTGGGGTTTTTTAATTTTGACACTTCACACGCGCATTCGTGTGTAATATATATATATATATATATATATATACACACACCTGTATAGTGACAACGGCACCGAGGACGAGTTTACGTATATATATGTGCACACAAGCATGAGCGCTGCACGTGTGTTTTATTTATGTATGCATACATGTATATTCCTCTATATAATATAATAATTTATAATGATATATACTGTTATGTGTATACGTTAAATCGTCGTCTGCGGGTTGTTCTTTTTTTAGCTGCCGACTTTAAGGTCTGCGAACGTTCACATCAAGGACGAGGCGACGGTCCTTAACAAGATCAACAAAATCGTCAGGGATGGTGCAAATAAACTACAGGTTTGTATACACACAGTTTTTATTTTTTTTATTTTTTTTTTCTCCTCTTACACATTGCTGATTCGTTACCGATGTGTATACCGTTATACAAATTTGCTCAACTCTGCACACGTCATTGTGTTTTTCAAACATCAAAGTGCGTACTAATTCGTCGTTCTTGGGTTTTTTCAGCTGGTGACGGACTTCGATCTCACGTTGACAAAGCAACACGAAAATGGAGTGCCGATTTTGAGCAGTTTCGGTAAGATAACTAGTTTCTCATTTAACTAATCGTTATTTGATCGTTTATTGGATAATAGTGATGCGATAAATTTTCTTCAAGGCCTTTGAAGAGTACGTAATTTTTTTTTTTTTATATCGCTTCGATTAATTGTTTTTCCTATTAGCAATTAATTCAGTGTCTATTTTTGAGAATGTTTTTTTAAGTGTTTGAAAAGTTCTCATTAAAGTTCAATTTTTAACTTTTTTCGCGTTGAACTACTTGACTTGCATTGCTGCTTTTGTCAGTTTAAAAACTAATTGGAATTTTTTTTTCATTTCAGGCATATTTAGAAAATGTAAACAGTTACCTGAATTTTACAAGTCTGAGACAAAAGTGATGTATCAAAAATACAGAGCCATTGAAATAGATCCAAATATTCCACTAGAGGAAAAAGTCAACGCAATGAACGATTGGAATATGTCGGCACACAAAATGCTTCAAGGAATTCCGTTTGACAAGAAAGAAATAGAGGAAGTCACTGATAGATACGGCCATTCACTGCGAGACAGGACAAAAGAATTATTTACCAAATTAAATGCTCTTGGTATTCCCATACTCGTATTCAGTGCAGGTCTTGGTGACGTTGTTAGAACACAATTGAGGCACCAAGAAGTGTATATGAATAACGTTAACATTATTTCAAATTTCTTGAAGTTCAATGGAAGTATGCTAGAAGGTTTTGAGAATCCGCAAAGGTTAATTCACGTGTTTAACAAAAATGAACACGCTGTTGAAAATGAGTACTTTAGAATCATCCAAGGACGTGTCAATGTTGTTCTAATGGGCGATACATTAGGTGATGCCACAATGGCTGATGGAGTAAAAGATACTGAAACTATTCTTAGGATTGGATTTCTGTACGATCAAGTAAGTTTTACTTTGTATACAATTTTTAAATATTTTTGTAACCATTCGGTATCATAAAATTTGCAATTATGGAAAGCATTGATTTATTTGAATTCAAAAATTTTTAACTTTTACTCTTCAATTTTGAATCATTCATTATATTTATCAAGTTCTCAATATGTGAGTAATAACAGAAGGTTAGAGGTCAAAGAAAAATTGCATTAACTTCATTTTCAAGTTTGCAAGAAAGATTAAAATGATCTAATTACGCAATATCGGTTGATATGATAGTTCATGCAGGCTGAAACACGTAAATGATAACAGTATTTCTCAAGAGCGTTTCTCAATTTCAGAACAAGAGTAGCCTTATATTCACGACTTGAATATGTTACTGGGTTAAATGATCAAATTCGAGTCGTGAAAGTACTGGGTTTTTAAAATTTGCAATATTATATAATTATTATAGAATTTTTGTTAATTAACAGTTTGTTTTGAGCAAGTTGTTTACTTATTATTATATTTCGTACCAAAATTTAGTAAAAACAAAGTGTTATGTATCATTTAATCTTTCAATCAAATAATAAAAGTATCTCGATGCGCTTACTGTTATCAGTATGATTGTAGTTCTGAATGGTTTTCCATTTGCATTGCCACGGAACTCTTTGAAAAAAATTAATAAGCGATGAAATCTGAAATGTCAATTAAGCATTGTTAATTATGCTCTTCCATTATTGATAAGTTGTATTTAATTTTTATTTCAATTTCTAGGCAGAAGAATGTTTACCGTCTTACAAGGAGGCTTTTGACATTGTATTAGTGGACGACCAAACTATGAACGTAGTCTTGGATGTTTTAAGCTCTCTTTTCTAACGCACTTTAACACCTAATATTAATCTAAATTCTAGGATCTTTAATCATCCAAAATCATACTTTTGGATTGTCTGTACATTTGCTAGTTTTCATGTTGTTAATTTCGTGCTTAAAATGATCTTGTAAATTTTTGCATTTACAAGTGAATGCATCTGTGATTCTTTTATTAGTAAATGAATCAAAGTTAAGTTTGAAAGAAAAGGTGAAAACCGTCAGAGGTACAAAACGTCACCTTAGTTGATTGGTGCATTAATAAAAAAAAAAAAAAAATTATTTGCTTTAAAGAAACTTTCGATATCATTGCACTTGAAAAGATATCTTTGAGGCTTCTTTACTTTAATTAATCGAATATATATGTATACATATGTCGTATTCTGTTAGACGCACATATAATTTGTGTCACAAACGCTGGTCGTATATAACTTTGATTAAGAGAGCACATCGATTGTTGCAGAAAGTTAAGTCTCTCACTTTGATTTTTCGTTGTATAAGTATATTAAAAAAAACGTCTCGATAATCGTTTTATTATTTTTAAATAGTTTATTAACGAATTATTTACGTGAGATTGAGTTATTCACTTTCGATGTGCGAATTTTGTTTTTTATTGATCACAATGAAACTCTTGGCCCATGTATACCATGAATTAGCAAATAAATTATTGATATCGCAATACGCGCAAATACACAATCGTTATGTACCAAACGAAACATTATTTTACCATAGCAACAACACTTGAAATCGTTATTAATTTTGAACTTAAGAATTCCTGCTTGTGAAATTTCTACACTATTAACCACTGACACTTTGAGCCAATGAGTTGTAAAAACTCTATTGTTTATAAATATTATTTACTAATGCGTACACAAAATGACACATACAAAATACTGTTCTATATATATAAAAAAAAAAAAAAAAAAAAAAAAAAAAAAAATTGTAGCCTGTGTAGTCTAAATTATAAAGCGAAATAATAATATATTTTTTATTACTTACTTTTGAAATAACTTGTTTGTGTATTACTTGTAACAATGCAACATTCACGTGACCGAAATATTCTGCTTGGTACTTTAAACTTTATTTATACCTAGAAGATTAATTAGATGTACAGGGAATTTTTAATCACTTGGAAGTTTATAGCATTTTTACATTTTTAAACCTTAACTTGTTGCTTTTGTACATAAAGTTATAATAGTAAAATCAAACAAACTTAAACTAATTATTGATCAAAATAAATATTTGTCAAAAAAAACCATTGTCTTATTTGTTGACCACATCAAACATAAAAATATTAATTTTAAGATGCCGAACGCTGTATAGGTCCACCATAAATGTTTCTTGCAGATCATTATTTTTGAAGAGTATTATTTATCATCAAACAACCACATCTTAAGAAAAAATATATTTACATACGTTAGTATTGTAAAATAAAAGATAATTTCCTAAAAAAAGGATGACAGGCCATAAAATTCTGTGTATTTCATTGGAAATAATTAAACACGTAAAGTTGGTGAACTCAACAAGTTACTCAAGTATGCTTATTTGAGTATTTTTACGTGGGTAAAAGTACCACTACGATGTAAGTATGCTGCGATCGAACGATCAAAGTACTTCGAAACCGGCCGGTCCGGTGTAGATATGATTTATATGAACCCCCCACGAACGCATCGCTACCGCACGTATTATATATATATATACTCAAGGGAACCGTTCCATACGAGATTAGATAAGTGGAGAAGAGAAATATTATTTCTCTTCAAGAAAGGTCTGGCGTCCTTGACCTTCGGCGTGTGCGCTTTTATTGTTTCCTCTCAGAGATTACGCACGCGTATACGTTACACCCATATTGATATTGTTGTTTAATTTATATTAGCAAAGCATCGTGTTAATATAACTAATGCGATCATTCTTGATGAAGTGAGGTAGAGAAGCCAACACCGTAACGTCGAAACGTGCGTATATTATATACACCTATATGGTACCTGTTATATACCGATTATACCGATGTAGATCGATATAACCGATGATCGTGTACCTATCCTCTATTGTTTTTCGTAAAATTTAGACAGGCACAATCGATGTACGAAGAGTACATATAGTACACAAACAGACCGTCAAATCAGCTTAACCGGTCACTTGGTTCGTTGTATCGGTACATCGGCGGGCGCTATCGTAGGGCTGTACACAGTACACACCTGTACAAAACAAGGAGACTTTAAAACGTATTAGATACACACACCCACACGTACACATATATACATAGATAGATAGCATTGTTTTATAATGGAACACACGCGACCGACTTTTAAAATCCTCGACGACGTGAGTAGGTACAGGTATAAGTACACAACCTATACAAGATAAAAAGAGACAAATAAAAAAAGAAGCCGCACGCGCATGTAAATAGAGAGTCTATACGTATATAGTTTATACACACCTGCATGTGAGAGCCAGCTGTGCGTGTGTGTATCTCACATATGTGCATAGACTTTATTCGATTATTCGTATAGTGAATTTTCTATACATGTGTACAGTTTTAGCAGCAGCATCGGATTGGGAGCGCGTTGTTTACATCCCGCCGATTTTTCGGCGGCGACAGTCCATACCTATACCCTATGAGAGCGCGGTGCGCCTTTCCCGTTTTTGTGGTTGTTTGAAAATACGAGCAGAAGCACGCCGGCAACAGGAGTTTAGGAAACCGGTGCAAAGCGTTTTAAATCTCTCTAGTGCGAGGAGGACGCCGAGGAAGTGAAAAAAAAAACGAAAAAAAAAAACGTGATCGTCGATGCTGCGCGCCTCGGAAGCTGCACCGGGCCGTTGTTTATCGTTGAATAAAAGTGGTGCCGGTTAACTATATAATTTCAAAGAGAGTCCCCGTAACAATCGTCAAGTCATGTCCGATGTCGGAGCACCGCTGGATGCCGGTGTCGACTGGGTGGAAGGTGATTTTTACAACTATTGAGAGAGAGAGAAAAAAAGATAATTATTCGTGTACCCTTGAGTTTGTTGGTTTTCTTTTTCCCCCTTTCATTTTCGTATAACCGTATGTATACATATACCTGTATTAGTTTACCCAAAACATGCTGATCGAGTATAATATGTTGTTTGTTGCATTGTGATATTATATCGTATTGTCGTGTTGTGTGCACAGAACTACAGAACAAAGTGTTCGAGGAGTGCCTAGCGATGTTGTCCCAGCAGATGAACTCGAGGAGCACCGACCTGTCATACTCGGACGACGGCTCGTCGTCGTCGTCTATCTCGGAGCTGTGCGACCGCAAGACCGCACCGATTTCCGTCATCATTGCGTGCATCCATCGAAATTTTGCTTACATGCCGCATTTTCGGTAAGTCGTCAATCATCCGGTTACCAAACTCTATTTGTTTATGGACATATTTTGGAGTGCATGATATGTTTTTGGAGTCGGAGCATCAATGCAGTATACAAATTGAAAGAGGAGCGGCTTGGAGTTTGTTTACATTAGGGATGTAGTTGGGTTATTGGGATGTTTACATGCATGGTTTTCAAAAACAGCAACAACTAATCATGTGTACCTATCTTGTTAATACAAGTTTTCAAATACAAATAAGCCACCGCACATCCGACATCCACTTCATGATAATGTTTGAGTATACGCGGCAGCAATGGATTATAATCGTCGCACGTTTCATTGCCATCGTCTACATCACATTATCGAGTCATTCATCGTAATGATTATAAATAGAGGCTCATTTTTAGTTTCATATTTTTAAGCAAAAGCCAGGGAAATGAATTCCTGGAGGAGCTGAGGCGGTCGCTGCAGGATAACGTGCGCGACTGCAAGCGCGTCGGCTGGAGAGACTTCAGGGATTCGTCCAAGCACTGGTTTTTGGATCTCGTTAATGCGGTACGACAGAACAACAATAACAATAACAACAACTGCAACAACGATGTTTGCTCAACAAAATGCAGGTCCGTACTACCATATTTTTCGTTGTTTACTTATAGTCTTATTTGGTTAGAAAAAATGCTGCGGTGCTCGCGTTGTGCGAACGTATAATATATTGTTTGTACACGCGTGTGGCTTGTACTCGTTGATATATTAGAGTTTAAATGCCTTCGAATTCAATATATATTTGTTTTAGTTCCAGCAGCAGCTGTCTAATATTATCATGATCACGTAACTGCATACCTCACTAGTTCAAATAAATGATTGATCTGGCATAATGTGAAAAAAAACGTAGTTATTATGTATAACAATTTTAACATTTGATAGTTCATTGCAATGAACTATTCACTAGAAAAATTTTGATAAGTTAAACATTTTTATAGATGTTTTATTCGATATCAAATTTCTGCTTCTTAGCATGGAAATAATATAATCGTAAGAGTTCACAGTAAAATTACAATACATTACGTGAAATAACGAAAGAAAACGCGATGTACCGTCAAATTACAGAGTGGTGCAATAATAAGCATCGCGAATCGTAGAATGACGATGTGAATACGATTTTTGTGTTACCTAACTTTTTTTTTTTTTTTCCATAAATTCAGTCACTGTCAGTTGATGTTTTAGTTGTGTTATAAAGAAAAAACTTTTTTCTACGCATCAGGAGCTTTCAGTTCGTTATTTCCAACGTAAGAGGTGATACAACGTGCTTATCACGTTAGTAAGTGCACGATAATTGTCACGATTACTCGGGAACACATGGTCGTTGTTACACAAAAACCTGTCTATATCCTTGGTTGAACTAAAAAATAATGGCACATCCTGTAACTTTCTATAACTTATGACTTTTTTTTTAATTGTTAATTCTAGAGCCAATGTAGAAACAAATACTCTAAACGAGGAGCAGAGCAAGCATGTCCTGAAGTAGAAACCGGCGAAAAAAAGTAAGAAGGAAAAAAAAAGACGCGTCAACTTTTTTTCCTTTTAACGTCAACGCTTGGATATATACTGCGCTAGTATACATATCAACCTCGCAGTATGAGACTCAGGTGTTGCGCGCCTAATAAGCCGACGATAAGCCGCGGCTTGGCTTGCCGTTTGACGCAACTCGCGCTACTGTATACTGTAAGCTCCTCAGTCGGGATCACCGGTGCGTGGACGTTGGATTTATACCCAGAAATCGTACAATTTTACTTTTCTTTTTCCCAATTGTTTTTTTTTTTTTTTTTTTTTTTTTTTTTTTTTTTTACCTCTGATTAAGTACCATTATAGTATTCCATGGTAATTTAAGCAGTGAGTGTTGATAGTGTGTTATTCCCCGAAGACGGTGTGGTGCGTCGATAGCGAATTAAAAAAAAAACAAAAAAGGTAAAAAGATGCTCTAGATTACGTAATTGTTCAAAAGTAAAGCTTACGCAATATTTAAATAATCAACATTGGCTGACGTTATTATACCTTACATCCAACTCGAAGCGATTCAATTTCGTAAATTGTCTATGCCGCGCGCATTCGCGACCCAAGACGATGCATATCATTTTTAACCAGACTACAAATACTTTTTTTTTTTTTTTGGCCAAAGCCAAGTTCATTGCTGCAAGGTACACGTGTACGTACATTTTTTAATTTTCCAAAGAACGTGACACAAACAACGGAGCTGTCTCGCGCGTTACTTTTCAAGACCAGACATGCAAACGCGCTTTGGGTCAACACGTACCGACGACCACTGACAGATCATTTTTCGTAAAATTAATGACGCTACGTCACATCTCGTTAACGATGTCCAATCTAACTAACTCAAAGTTCCCACAGCTGTTTGGTGGCTCGTGTATAAAACCTTCTTTTTTTTTCGGAAATGAATTTTCCAACGCGAAGATCAAGGCCGAGCTTAATGAGCATGAGAAAAAAACGCAAACACCGCACGGTTGTAACGCACCTGTTTAAAAAGAGCCGGGGGGTGGGAGAGGAAGAACAGTATAGTGATAATATTGGAATAGGGAGGCCAAATGAGCTTACGGTATCGGCGTTGATAAATTTCCTCCAATAAAAAGAAAGAAATAGCATAGGTACGTGAGCGCGCGCTTGACACCCTTATCGCTTCGGTTTGCGCTCGTTATGCGTACATCCAAGTACTCACCGCGCGCCGTCCAATTGTACTTGCGCATTTTTTATATCACCATTCGTCTCGTTGTAAAGTTAAACGCGTACGGTTGCGTTTTTTTTCAGTCGACGCGCGCTTATATTACGTGTTAAGTGAGCAGACCTTTTTTTGCCTACTGTGACGTTGTTCATTTTAAAAATTTTTTTTTTGCGGCATCATCGATTACGTATATTTGAATATACTTACCTTTGAGTAACTTAAAACATTGAAATGAAATCCTAATTTTTTTGTACTTCTGATGCATACAATTATTTCATTGTATGATTGCGATTAGCAGCATCGGTGGAAAGAAATTTGGATCCACAAGACCTCTGGACTTTGAGTGTTACGATAAAATTTAATACCTGGTCTTCCCATACTCGAGAGTGAAAAATTAAAATACATTCCAAACAGCAATGACTGTACAGCTTGAATCCATTTGAACTACCTCTGTATCCTTACTTCTTCGAAGTAAATATGATTGTGTAGCTATGATGAGTTTGCAAGCACCAAAGCTCGATTTCTGTGTGTCGAGCTGGTGACACGTTAGCACCGCAGCAACAGTAGTAGTTAGTGTTACATAAGCGACGGCATGTATCGTTACAAGTCTGTGTGGTGCCACAGCGACGCCCCAACGTCGACGGAAGATGCCTCGGAACGGGGGGACACAGCCGAGTACTGCTACAGCACGGATGCCGCCGACGACGAGCACCAGCCCGACAATTTGGGTAATGCCTTGGTGCATGTACTTTTTTTTTAATTTTCATTTTAAATTCCGGTAGATTTCATCATGCTAGTAGGAATTTTACATTTATCTAAAAGAAAAAAAAAAAAAAAAAAATTGGTGGTCACAGTCGCTTCCACAACCCTCGGACTTTTCAGCCCCCAACTCCGTGAGGCGTTATTTTTTAAAATTGGCTGTTACTATTTTGGCTATTGTGCTTTTGGTACTGACGTTGTTGCTATATCGTAGATCTTTTCCTTTCGTTACCTCNTCAAATATTATTAAAAAAAAAAAAAAAAAAAAAAAAAAAAAAAAAATTGGTGGTCACAGTCGCTTCCACAACCCTCGGACTTTTCAGCCCCCAACTCCGTGAGGCGTTATTTTTTAAAATTGGCTGTTACTATTTTGGCTATTGTGCTTTTGGTACTGACGTTGTTGCTATATCGTAGATCTTTTCCTTTCGTTACCTCATGGTTTCCTTCTTTATCATTTTGTTCATCAAAAATATCTTTGCAGCCACCTGTTACAGCTGTAATAGCAGCAGTATGGGACTTGGGTAAGAAGCTTTTTTTTTTTTTATCATTACTTACATTAAAGTTATAAAAAGTGAAAGCCGAAAATTTATAATTGAAATGTGATTTTTTTTTCAGCACGATGGATAGCATGATCGAGTATTCGGACGATACCGATCAGCCGATCGACAATATAAGCGTCGATCTTCAGATCCGAATGCGGCGTTACAACGAGGAAACGGCGAGCCTGAAGGCTGAACTGTTGCGAGTGGAAGAGATCGTTTCAAATTTGGAGATCGACCTCAGAACGAAACAAGTCAATTTGTAGGTTTTTTTTTTTTTTTTTTTTTTTATTTTTTTTTTTTATTGAAATTTTCTTCGAGGGTGTGTTTAATGTGAGAACGTGTATATTTTTCAGAGAAAAAATTTCAACCAAATACACAAAAGTACAAAAGGAGCTGGAGGAGCACAAAGATCTGCTAGCAAAGTCGGAGAAACGCGAGGAATCGTGTAGGCAGGAAGTGCGAGCGCTACAAGCAAAATGCAATTCATTGCAGAAAAAAGTCACCGAGTTTGAGAATGAGGTAATTCACGAATTTCCCTGTATATTTTTGGTATACGAATTTATTCATTTTTTTTTTTTCAGAAAGTTAACGTCGCAAATTTGAATGCGAGGATACAGGAGCTAAGTAAACTCAATTCGGAATATGCGAAACAGCTTGCAGAATATAAAATTGAGTGCAAAGAAAAACAAATGGAGTACGAGTACTTGCAAGAAACGTACAATGAACTGCGAAACAATTTTTCTCAATTAGAAAAGTCTCACGAGCAAATTGTCAAGGTGTTTCTCGATGTTTGAGCTGTGATTGTTGTAATTTATAGAGAATTTTTGAGAAAAACTCAACGTTTAACTTATTTGCAGGAATATTCCGACAAAATTGAAGAACTTACAAATGCAAACAACGAACTGCAGTTTAAATCAAATAAATCTTGCGATAGTTTTAGTAGTCAGGTAATCGAGTTCAATGTACATGTAGTTTTTTTTCATTTTCAATGGAAATGTTATAAATATTCTATTTTTACTATTGAAGCTGTCCTTAACTCCACCATCTTACGCTGCTAGTTATCCTAATGTACACAGCACACCGTACAATAAGAAGAAATTATCGTGTCAAGATTCTCTGTACACCGAATTAAAAGCTTCCGTACGTAACATATACTCACCATTGCAACTCAATAACTTACGATCGAAAATTTTCAAGGTTTTAATCGATTTTCAGGGCTTTAATATCGAAGAAGAAAAAATTCTTCAGCTCAAAGAGGAACTTTCTTTTTACAATGAAGAGATCGCACTTATATCTGAACAAATAGAAGAGTGAGCACATTTCTTGGTCAACGATGTAATTTGATTGTTTTTTTTTTAATGTACGTACAATAACGACAAAATTTCATATCCTCGCAGGGCATTACAGAATTTAGCCGCTTCGAGGAACGAAATCTGCCCACCCAGTATCCAGCTGGTAGAAACGAATGGCATTCAAAGTTTGAAGCACAAAATCACAACGCTACTAAACTTGGTATACAGCTATTTACCCCACAACTGTTCACGTTTATTCCATTTTATTCTCGATGGCATTGAAAATACGGTATACAATCATACGCGCTCGAATTTCAATACCCGGACGTTCCTGCAGCGCTTTGTGCTTGCAAGCTCACCGCGTCGCTGAACACCTTTGTATACGCATATCTCGCAAGGTCGTCTAGTTCTTTCGAGTTCCTTGTTTATTATTATTTTTTTTATTTTTTTTATTTTTATTTTAATTTTTAAGAAAGTTCCAGTACCTATAATCCTGTCTCTGTTACTCTGCCGATGCTTAGTCATCTCCGTGTTTGCCGTTTTTCCGCACTCGTTTGGGAGTCGATTTGTATGGCAGCCACGATTCAATGCCGAGATCGTTCGTCGCTGATAAATAACCTTACTGATGCATATTATATTTTTATGGTAAAAGAGCACGTACCGCTTTTTTGCCGATACAAGCACGCGACGCTTACACTTGACCTGTTGGTTAACTTTTTTTTTTTTTTCAAGGCTCGGTATTTATTTTTGTCTCCATGTATAACAAGCTCCAAAAAAAAAAAAAAAAAACACCAATTTGCGTTCACCGTATCCGGTGAGATTCAATTTTAAAAATCGTATAAACCCGGTAAAATTTTCCAAGCGACCACGGTAAAATCATTCCTAATCCACTCTCGATCATTCGCATCATGATCACTGGATATAAAAAAAAAAAAACTCCTCCGTTCTCTTTTCCCTTCAGATGAGGAGCTGTCCCGCTGCGAAAGAGCTACCGTCATCAGTGCCGCTAATGGGGGAGGCGTCCCGAGAGAAACCCGACGTTCTGCCGAAGAAGGGCGGCTACGTGTTCAGCGATCGAGATATCGCGTGAGTCATTTAACACATGTATACTATATTATACTAAATAAAGTACCGCGCGCTCGAACGCAGAATATGATGTTGGTATAGGTATACATTACACAGACGGCTGCGGAGACACTTTCGCTTCTTATTTTCTCTCTCCTGCGCTAACTAAACCATCAGCTACTTATTAGCCGAAGCTGCACGAGCGAATGAACCGATGAGCAATCGGAAGTATTTGGATCAAGGTTACCCTCGGGAGGAGGGGGACTTTTATTCCATACACACACTATCCTGTCGTGCACGGCACTCAAACGTATCATATATAGCCCTTCTGTAAAAATAGCCGGTGTGTGCTCCTCGCCTCGCTTATAGAGGTGGTGTAAGCGATATTGACGACGCCGATGATTATGGCAGTAGCAGAGTTTAGCGGCGTCCACGTGGCCTTCCGTGATCTTACAGTAAAAATAAACGCGGCCTTTTTCCTCCCTCCGCCGCGACGATTTCACTGTCGACGGAGTCACCGCCACCGCGTCCAGTTGTCCCTTTTTGTTCGGTGCCACCATCCGCGCGTCGACCCGCGGTTATTATTTTCGGAGCTACTGGATTTTCATACCGGCTTCTCGTTTTGTTTTCTTTGCTATACTTACGTTTTTTCTATCTACTCTGCAATTTGGGTTTGTAAAATTTTGTTTTTTCCGAGTAGTTAAAGTATTTGTCAACAGCACATGCTTCTCCCGCGCAACATCGTCGTCAGCTTCATTGATCGTTAATCTTTCGCTCGAGAGTTTCGCAATGAACGAGTGTCAATCAACCGTCGTAACACAAGTAAATCAGCTCTCTCTCTCCTAGTATGGATCAATTATTAAAAACTCGAAACATTTATAGGTTTACATAGCGAGCGAGAATGTTTGGCAAACAACACATACGTATGGTCACTGTGTATTTTTGGGTCCTTGATCTAATTTTCGCTACTCCACCTTCCTTCCAGCAAATGTATGGCTCTTCGTGCCGATTTATATTTCGGTTCCGAGAGAATAATGACCCTCGCCTCCTTGCTCCTCCGATATGGCATTGGCTGTCGAGGTTTTGGACAACCTTACCTTTTTGCTTTTCATCTGATGGAATAAATAAAAAAAAAAGATAATTTAAATACTGTAAAGTACAGTTTTGGTTTGAAAAATCTATTGTCCGGGTTTTATTTTTGTCCACGCGGTATCGTTCCCAATTTAAAAGTAAAAATCCGTAAGGAGATCGATTGGAATTTCCAATTCGCAATCTGATGTCTTCCTCGACGTATAGCATGTAACAATGAGGCAAAGGTGCACTCGCCGTTTGCCCAAAAGTCGGGCGCTGTGAGCTCAGTCTACGGCTGACGCTCGCCGGCTGCTGACGACGGATCGAGCGTGACGCGGTCGCTTTTGATCTTCTGTATACTTACTCTGTGAAATAAGTTGAACCAATTTTTTTTATTTTTTTTATTTTTTTTCATCTTTTAGTGCTAGAGTGAAAAAAGTGCTCGTGCAGGAGCATCGTGATTGTTTTGATGAAGTGCAAATTGTCGAAAGGTGGAGAGTTCATACCTACCGATAACCAAATGTCTAAGAAGTTTATGGTTGCAATTTGTCAGTCGATTAGAGGCTTATTAGTTTCATGAAATATCAAGGTAAAGGTTTCTCTGTTGCAGGCAGTCCACAAAAGATATATTTTTGTAAAGAAAAAAAAAAAAAAAAAAAAAAAAAGAAGCATTTTTCATCAAAGCTATGTTTAGCTCGCTATCGGACGAAAATAGCAAGATGCAGCGATAAAATACGCGCAATGTAAACGAAAAATGTTATTAACTCGCGGGCGCCACTGAAAAAGCCGTTTTGACAAAAATTAATGACAGGAAGGAGTTTTACCAAAGATTAAAAGAGCGTTAAACTCGGGATTTTTCATTCAGTCGCGTGGACAATAAATTGTGAGTGTGGACTTTTCAACCGATCCTTACCTCGGAAAGCTCAAAGCTCACCAAACTCTTTCCAGAGCTCGAGGCGGCATAAAAAAAAAATCAAACGGCGCGATTTAGTGGTGCTAATTGCTCGCATCTGCTCTGATTGTTCGCATTATCGCGCGCGAAGGTCTCTCGGACTCGTGATATGTATATACACATAAACGCAGACCGTTGGCACGTGACACGATTTTTTCCTCTTCTTCTTTTTTCGTGGTTGAAATTTTGTTCTAGCTTCAAAAAATTATTTATTTTTGACCAATATATACGACTGTGAATGCCTTACATACTTGGAAGTTGTACAATGGGCCCTTGTTTCGTGTAGGCGAGTCTCAAGAGAGCAATCGTCTTAATCCGTGAAAATTCCCGTTATAGAAAAATCGTTAAAGCTAGTTGTCTCGCAACAGGTTCGACGAGTTTTCAGAGGGGAGCTTCCTCGAGTTACAGTCACGTTCCATCAACTCCATTTATACATGCACTTTCTCTCTCTGTGTATCTCCGTACCGATCATTCGATCGTAAATCGAAACCATCGGTCATTAATCGATCGGTAAAAAGGCGCTCTCGTGGTTTCGAGTTATTTGCGAGTAAAAAAAAAACTTTAAACACATGTCGAGCACTAGTACATACACACAAGTCTGTATATATTGCATATTATCTACGTATACGTACATCGTTACGCAAGAATCTGGTTAGCTGAGACACGTCTATTTCTCGAGGGCGAAAGTTTAGTCGTAGAGTACCATCGTATTATTATTTTTTTTTTTTTCCTTAGTCTGACATTGGGTGCGGCATCATGAAGAACGGGGTGACGGACAGTGACGGACGCGTCAGGGGTTTCATCGACTACAACCAACACGAATACTTGTGCGTTTGGTTCAATTTCGTTTAGTTTCGTTGTTTTTTTTTTTTTTTTCGTACCATTACTGTGATATATGTGGATAGTGTATTTGCACAGTATAATATAAGCCTTCCTCGATTTCGTAAAAAAAGTGATTTATCCATGAAATTATTGAAATTTACTCCCATGAACTATACTAGAAGTATTTATTAAATGAAGTAAAGTGACAATTATTCTCCTGTCGCAATACGTGAAAAACAAAATATAAGTTTCGTGTTTAAAATTTAATAGGGCGTGCTTTGAAAAAAATGACGCGCATTACACGATGTGCAAGTCCTCACTCCCTCTACATATCTGTATTTATTATTTTTTGCTCGTTAACGTATTGGAGTGCGCGAACAATGTTCCAATTGTTTTCAACTCCTTGTCATGTAAAACTATGATTTCTGCCCTACATCCCGAAATTCAAAAACTTGCAATTTTCACGTACATTTGGAGAACTTGTGTAGAAAAATAAAAAAAATCTCTCGGAGCATGAAAAAACTTTGATTGCAGGACGGACAAGGGAGAAAACGACCTGATAGCGACGGTGCCGCCCACAATACTCGTAAACGGTTACCATCCCAGCAGAGCGATTTTCCCTTCGTTCCCCGAAATCTCTGGAGTCGCGAGACTCGATACGACGGAGGAGAAGGAAAACGAAGAGCCCGAGATCATCATACCGATCAACGAGGCGCTCAAGAGGATCACCGCTCTAAACGACGGTTACCCCGACCCGGACAGCTTTACCACCCCCAAGTACGAGATTTTTTTTTCAACTAAACTCGGCTCGTTTTTTTTCATACAACTATGTAGCACCAACGAGTAATACGATTGCATCACCCCGACAGGCTTAAATCGATATTCACGAGCACGAACAAACCCAATTGGCTGTCTCGGATCGCGGAACCAAAGCCAACACGAGCCAAGGGCGATGCGACATATTGCTTGAAGCCCAAACAGTCCACCGATCCGCAGTCCAAGTGTACCAGCAACAACATGAAGACCCTGAAAACCGACACAACCAGCAAGGACTTTGAGACGTCAACTCCGAGCTCCACGGGACCGATCCCTGCACAGCTCGACACGCGCTACGTCACGATGACTCGGCCCAGCGTCAGGACCTACCTCATGGACAAGTCAGCGCTGCAACAGCAACAGTCCCCCTTCGGCCAGACGCGCTCGGAGATCCCGTACTGCCGTACCCCATGCGCTTCGAGCCCCCAGCGCAAGCTCTCGGTCTACCACCGCTCCTTCGACGTCGACAGCCTGCAGACGCCGTCGGACAAGGTGACGCAGGTGCAACCCGTCCATGGCAACGGGAGCGAAAAGAAGCGCTCGGTCAGCACGCCTGACGCCCAAGAGGCCGAGTCCCTGCTCGCGAAACAGTCGTCCTCCCCGAGAGCCAAGTGCCACCTGATGAACTACCGCGTCTCGGCGAACTTCAGTGCCGAACTGTCCGCCAGCTCGTCGTCGAATAACGACGATTCGTCGATCAAGGACGCCGAAGACGGCGCGTTTGTCGCGAGGGACGAGAAGGAGGTTGTCAGGCCGATCATCGCGCCGACCAAGTTCAAGGTGCCCGAGGTCAATCAGACGACAGTGTCGTACAGGGAGCTCGAGTTCACGCCGATGGTCGGAAAGGGCATTCTGTCGAAGCAGGCTGTCGAGCACTCGAGGATCCTTGGCTCGTCCGCGGGTTTGGCTGGCGAAGGGGACAGCAAGACCGAGGACGAGGTGCCCACGATCTCCTTGGACACCAGTACCCTCGAGAGCTTCAAGTTGGGGCTCGAGGGTGCGGAGGGCGCTAACAACAGCAGTGCCGTCGGGGACCAAAGCCACTCCGGTGACCAAGCAAACGTGAAAAGAGGTACTTCTTATTCATTACTGCATCGGTGTATAAATCACAAAAAATCCATCAATAAGCGGCTCATCTCCCGCGCAAAATTTAAAGAGTCTTTTCAATTGTTTGTAGCGAGAAAAATCGAATCACAGAAAATGTAATGAATGCTAAATGACGCGGGAGGGGGGGGGGGCGCAAACAATAAGCCAATGATCGATCTCGTTACGCAATAATTGCAGTAGGTGCCGATGACGACAAGACGACGACGAGCATCGGTGCAGCCAGTACGCCTGTCGAGCCTGTTCGCGAGGATTGCAAGAACAGCGGCGCCGCCATGAGCGACGGAGTGCCGACTGCGGTGATGAGTATGAAAGTAGCGCCGGCAGTCGGGCGCGCGATGTCCAGTGGCGAGGATAGCTCGGCCGAGAGCGAGTGTGATGCGCGCAAGAACGCCGTTGTTGCTGCAGGAGCTGTGCCCGAGTCATCGGAATCTGTGAAGCAGCCGGAGATCGATACTGTGTGGGAAGAGGAGGCGAAGCCGGACAATACGAGGAGCGAGGACGACGTGGATCCTGGCCCTGGAGAGGACAAGGCCAAGGTGGGGTGTCAGGGGGTAAGCGAGTACTGGTGTTTGATTGTTTTTTTTTCTTTTTTTTAAATTTTTAAGATTTAGACAAGATATTTCGGTGAATCGTTGAATGTTCCTTTTAAGCATTCCACACATTTTTCGTGATTTAGCATGCTGCTCTGAAAGTTGACGTTGAATCATTGCTGTGTTGTGATGGAAAAATAAAAATCTGGTGAATTTTAATACAGATACGTCAAAACACTGCTAAGTTCGTTTGGGTACAAATTCATACGTCAATTTTGATTTCTGATAATAATCTAAAATAATCATCCTTAAAGAATAAATTACCGAGTGAACATTGCCTTTTTTTTAAAATTTGACTAATTTTTTTCATTTTCGCGATTTTAATATTTTACGTGTCGTTAATTTTTCAAATGATTTTTTTTTTTTACTTGTTGATGTTAATGGTTGTCCAATTATTTTGAATTGTTTAAATTTTAAAGTGAAAAAGCGTTGAATTGTAAGATGCTGGAGCGATTGCAAATGTAATTTGGATTAAACATTCGTGAAAGTAGCATTAAAAAAAATAAACTGAAAGTTATAAATATTATATGTTCGTGGTAAAGAATGGGGCGATAAATACAGAATCGTGTGAATGACATAAAAAACATCTGTAAACTACTTAAGTCAGCGAAATAATTTAGTTCGGAGACCGTTGACTATAAAATTTATAAGTATACATTTTATCAAAACCCAACAAACTGATGATTATTTTAGATACACCTATACGTAAAAAAGATGGTAGCATGCCTTTCGATACATTCATACATTATATAGTTTCGAAGGTATGCGTTACAATGTTATGTAAATTGAGAAGTCTTGTATGTTACCACTGCCTTTAATGGTCGACAAGACTGCTTCCGAACTTTATTATGCAATAGCTTACATTTCAAAGATCTGATGCTCATTTATATTTCAAAATGGTGTATGCTTCCAATTAACAAAATGTCATATTCAATTTATAAATTCCTTGTATAAGATTTTAATCCACAAGTCTCTAGGCAATCGATCAATTGAAAACCGGACGTACGGACCCACAAAGTATTTCGAGAAAATGTTGTGCTTGTTTCATTCAAAGTGAATCAACATTGTTTTGATTTTGCCGCACTCCGAAAGCTACAGACGTGCCGTTGTTTTGGAGCTTTTGAAGCAACTCCGAAATTAAAAATCGCGAGGTAATCGGTACCCTTGCGTCCCTGCTTCTTCTTCTCTTCCACATTGTTTATTATCTGCTACAACACGAAATTACACGGCTCAAATAGTTGGCACAGCTATGTACGATTTGTTGATGATGAAACGTACTTTCGGACCTTTTTTCCGGCCATTCACTGTACTTTTCGCGTTACTCATGGTAACAGATAATGAATGAATAAACAAAAAAATGATGGAACTTGACAGAAGTATAAAATTAAACAGCATCACCGATCAATTTGCCAACAAACGAGCGCCTCGCACAGTTTTATCCATCAATGAATTTTCAGTACTCTGCATCCAAGACAACGAAGAGCGCGTGAAGAGATTTTCCTTCGAAACGAGGCACACACGAGAGCCAATGGCGCGGCGCTTCAATTAAACGCTAATTATGCTGGTTGCGTACCCCGCCCTCCTTCGAACTTGAAAAACAATTACCAGTCGATCGGTCGGTTATTAAGAGGAGATTGGCGGGGCGAGTGTTTTGCTTGTACAGCATATACTATAGCGTATACCGCGGTTTCGTCGCGTGTACACCGATGCACTCATTGTAAGCACGTACAGGGTCTGCTGCTCTATTGACGAGATATTTGCACATATAAGGTACATTGTATCGCTGACCACGCGGCCTTTTTCCGTCGTGTGGGCGCAAGGAGCGATCGTACCTTGTGTTACATGATGGAGCGCCTAATCGCATTAATTTTTGCTAGCATCATACATATTTATACATGGAAGTTTTTTCATGTAGAATATAATAAATTTTATTTTTAGGATTTTTTTTTCCACTTTTTTTTTTAGGTAAGAATGAAATGTATGTGTAGAGAAAACTCACGTCAATCATACCATCTTGAGATTTCATTAGACTTCCGTGTATACGATCTTTTTTCACAATGGGAATTTTTACGATGAATATATGGAATTTTTAATCATTTAAAAATATTTTAACGACCGATTTTTGTAAAATCGGTAATTTTAATGACCGCGTACAAACATATTACGAATGAATAAATTCAAACAAAATAAGCATACCCAAGCGTGTCCCATATTTTTGAAACCCAGTGTGTATTTCATGCAAAGTAGGTGCTACATGATACAGTGTACGTATGAGCGACGTGTGTGTACAAAAGTAGGTTACAAATACAACATTACAATGTAAGCAGTAAAAAGAAAAGAAAAATGGAGAATCGATAAAAAATTGGTCGTGTAAATCATACACTCACTTGTAAATTGGTAATTGGCCCCGTGATATATCAAGGCGAGGGACTTTCAGGTTTAACGCGACACATTTTTCGAAAAAAATAAACAATCCGTATTACGTGGGGTTCGTGTGCCACACGAGAGACAAAAAAGAAACTAAATAATCATCTAGAGTTGATTCTGGCTCGAGAAAATTGCTCATCGCGCTGCTGTGAAATTTTTCTGTCTCGTTCTGATACCGATTTAATTTTCACTGTATCTGCATGCATTGTCGATTCATTCGCCTATACCTAAATCGGAACTACCGAGACATCGAAATATTTCCATCCAATGCTTTTATTTGAAACTTGATCGGTAATTGCCGATTTATTGCACTCTACTTTAGATATAAATTTTCCTTTTTTTTTTTTCGTACCCACGCAAAATGTATGTATCTTTACGTGGTATTAAATCACCACCGCGATCGTAGTGTACCTCATTACCTCTCGATATGCGAACGGATTGACGCATCATGAATATATTGGCGATTACACCGATCTGCCGTTCGCGAATACAAATCATTCAGTTCGAGTAACGAGAAAGGTGCCGCGGAAAAAAAGCGCTTATTAATCGAATGATTATGATTTTCGATTTCGATCAAACTATCCGTCAATTAGCGCGAGTACACTATTTGACTTGCATGTCGCTCGTATAAAATATATATGTGTTTCAACTTAACGCGTTACCGATTGTGGAATAAATCGGTATTGAAAAAATACACTAGATATTTCCTCTTTTTTTCTCTCTCAACGAAAACGTGTCGGGGAATCTATCACGTGCTCTTCAAACACATTATAACAGCGAAAAATGTTGACAACGTGTGCGTTTCGATGTAATAACTCACATAGTCAGCGTTCGGTCGGATTGAAGTTTAAATAGCTGTAGGTCGCGCGTAAATCAAAAATTGGCAAAAATACCCCGCAGGCGCTCCAAAAAATTCCAGCGGTGGGTATATATACGTATGGCCCTGAGGTCAAATATAATATACACCGCAAAACTGCATCCGGCTGACTCTCCCCTTCGGAGGAATAATATTTGCCTTGAACTCGCTCGTTCGCCATCACCGTCGACGACCGAAATATGTATAATTATCATCGGCCCGAAAGAGCTCGAAGCCATCACGTGGAACACACGAGTATTGGAAAAAGGAGCAGAGCCACTTTTGGCCTACGAAATATATTTTTCCCTTGATGAATTTCACGCGGTGCGTTGGACGTCAAATTAACACCGCGCTAGACCGTAAAAATCGGTCATTACGAGCTATTAGAGCGCGTAACGAGAACCGAGAGCTCGTTACATTCGACCACCGACCTGTCACTCATTCTCTCTCCGTTACTCTCGAGACTATATTATGTATACCCTCGAGCGAGCAGCACGTGAGAATCGCCGTATGTTTTACGCCACGAACCGCGAAAAAGGAGCTCTAGTCGAGGCGATTACGAGGCCGCACTTGTAGGAGCTCGATCGGCAGAGTCGCCGGATCGTCTTTGCCTCACTTGCTCGCGCGAACGAGTTCAATGTAAGGTATAAAGTTTCCATGGTGAGGTGCTAATTTGTTGGACACTGAAAAGAGCTACTATCAACTTTGTACAGCTTGGGTGTTTGATTGTTCGGTTTTTAATTGTATCGAAAGCAGCGATAAATGTCATTTATTGCCACCTACTTTGATATTATTGTGTTTCATGTCGCCTAGTGCTTGTATTTTGTTGATCATTTTTTTGCAACTTCAATTTTTGTACTTTGCAACATTTTGTTGATTTCAGGCGTCTTCAACTATGAATGGCGAGGACAGGGAGAATAGTAGATACAGCACAGAAACAGCGGTAAATTCATCATCTCCGGACGTGGTTAAGGGAGACGAGAGTCCAAAGGCTTTTCCGAGCTGGACGGATGAGAAGCTCCAAGAATCCGGCATCGCGAGCTTTCCCGACGTCGACTCGGAATTGAGGTATGTTGTTTTTTTTTTTTTTTTCCTCACTTCCCAAACCTCTTATTTTAGAACTACAGAGTTCACTGCCCAGTCAAAGAAGAATCCGAAAAATTCGGGCTCGCGCATGACGGCGCCAGTCCCCACGGACGAATTCCGAGCGCGCCTTTTTTTATTTTCCCTCCCGAAAATGCCACTGCCGACTACTTCTATAAAAATTCGATTTGTTTCGCAACGTGCGACAATAATCTTCCCCGGAGAAGCAAAAAACAGTGATGGCTCCCACTCGTCACGTCGCGGTATCGCGTACCCGGATATTTTCGGAGCTTTCATCTTCCCGTGACGAGATCGCGTTTATCACCGTCGCCCGACTCTTACGTACCCTTGACTTTTACTATCTATATACCAGCGATTTGCGAATTCGCTTCAGTTGGTCGCCAAACGAATTTTCACACGAAGCGAGTTTCCGCGCGGGAATCGTCTATTTTCGGCCAATAGCAATAATTGATCGGCAAATGTGGGTTCTCGATAATCGCACCCAAGGCGTATTTGCGGTACAAAGTCAACATCGAATTCTCGCGAATATAATAATCACGACGAGCGCGGTGATGAATTGTAATCCAAGACCAATAAACCGAATCGTAGTCTAATATTATAACTTACGCGGATGACGGAGAGATTTACTTTGGTTGCATATGATTTTTGTATCACTATTTAATACCTTTTATTCGTTTTTTTCAGTGAAAACTTGAACGAAGAACAATTAAAGGTAAGTGGTTTTTTTTTTTTTTTGTGTTTCTTAACACCGCATGACTTTTCTGAATCGTATTTATTGCGATTTTTTGTTTTCTTGCATTCACTGACACGCCGTGGAAAAGGTACAGTTTTCCATTTCTTTTTTTCGTAATCTTTTTAATACTTTTATCGACTATTTAAAAAAAAAACAGTATCTAATTATACGATTTGATGAAAACGAAAAAAAAAAACTAGTCGTTTAATTGAAGAGTTTTATCAAGAGGTGGATTTTTTTCCCCTCAAACGTAATTAGATGCCGATTAATCTAGTTACGTCAGTTTTTACGACAAAAGATTCGACTAATCACGCGACGTTGCACTTTTTTGAAACAGATCGTTTTGCCAAATATGAAAAAAGGAAGTGCACTACAAACAATTTACTTTTTCGATTCTTTAACCGATATACATTTTTCGTGATGTGTTAAAAAAAATGTTCTTTATCTCGTATTCACTGTGATCGTTATTCTCGTAAAGCAAACGATTTTTCCTTAACGAGAACATCGAACTTAACATTGCCTCGGTAAAAGGAAACAATCTGCTGCTAATAAGATACGATAGGTTTTTTCGTTGAGCGCGTATTATTCATCGACTTGCCAGTAAATAAGGCAAAACAGTTTTAACGATCGCGATTCCAATTTCAGAAGAAGTGTACGATCTTTTCGATCGGATTGAGCGCCGACAGAATGACACTTTCCAAGCGACTGGAGTTGGCCGTTCGTCACCGCGACCAGGCCGAGCTGAACTTCAACAACGAGGTCAACAAAATGCAGCTCAACATTATGGTAAAAAACCGCATTTACAGCATCTATATGGCCGGTACTTATATACAATTCATCTGTGTGAGACACAAAAAAAAAAAAAAAAAAAAAAAAAGAAAAAACAAATCGGAATCGATTAAAAAACAAAATCCTCTGAACATGCGACGGCCACAGGAGTTGGCGCCGTTGTGCGTAGACAGCGAGTCCCTAGAGAGGGTCGAACGAGTGAGGACGCAGCTCGAGATGGTATCCCGTTGCACCCGTTGGATATCGAGCAGTGCCGAGACACTTGGCGCCGTCCGACAGGAGAGACGCGTCTCGCGTGCCGTACTCTTGGCCGACAGATACCTACAGACCCTGCGCTCAAAGTGCGAGAAACTCGCTGGCGAGCTCGCCGAAACAAAGTATGGCTCAGTGCTTGGTGCTCGGGGCTCGATCGGCTTTTCCCATTTCCTCCCATACTTACCTTGCGACACCCTCCTTTGGCTCCTCCACGATTGATCCAGCCCGAGCGTAGTTGGTCACTCTGGCAAAACGGGGATCGAATAACTTGAATCTTCATTCCAGGAGAATCCTCGCGGAAAACAATATCGTGATCGAAGAGAACCTCAGCGAGCTGGGCGACGACGTGCCGCGCGTCCGTTATCGCGCCGTGCCCAACAATAATCGTACGATGGTTCGAAAATGCAAAACACACACTTGTTCGCAGCTTAAGCTACCTTTTTTCCGTTCATTCGTCAAAACACCATACCCTCCCATCAACAGTTACCATACTTTTCACATTACTTAGATTTGGCTGTTTTTTCAAGCTTCGAGTTTTTTTTTTTACTGATACAGGTGTGGGGTATCGTAACTGGCGCTTCGTTTCTAGATGGATCATGTTTTACAAGTATTTCCTTAGATCCAATTAACACGTAGTATTTCAGTGGTTGTATATTTTCCTAGCTGAAGCAGTGATGTACCCGTGTAGATTCACTCAATCATTCATCGACCAGCATATTTTTTCATTACCAAAGCCTCCAACGATGCTAATTATCAAAAACTCATTCCATGGTTAATCATCCTTGTACGCAATTGCAGCAAAATCACGCTTGACACATCAGCTTACTTAATATAATTTTGATTACTTTTGAAAGCAATTGTTTTTTGTTTTTTTTTGCACCCTGCGTATAGACACAACACGTTTGTTGAAGTGACACCTTTCGTTTGACTTTGTTTCTTTTTTAGATGGCTAGAAGGAGAGCTAGCATAGCGACGATATCGCGGCCGCTGTTGGGCAGCAACCAAGACATATCAAAGGCAACGAATTTAACAAAATTTTTTGTCTGTCTGTGTACATATACATACATGCATATGTCTCCTGACTCTTTGTCTGTATACATACCTCGGTTATGCAGCTTTTCTTTTGCGCATTTTAGGAACGTTTTTAGCGCTTGGCTGCTTTTGGTGAATGCGCTGCAGTTTTTTTTTTTTAATTGACAATATAATCACTAATTTTAGAGGGATGCGTGCTTTGCTTTTCCAGCTTTTTAAATTTTTTGGCGCATGTACCTGAAAAGGCGTTTGATTTAGTTTGTAACAATTATAGTATGTAAAAATGTATACTAATACAATTTTAAAATATACTGTGGTAAATTCTTTGATTAACGTGGTATGCATGATTTATTCAAAGAGTCGAGCAAAGAAGAGATTTTAAGCAAATTTTAAAATTTGTAGGAGGTGCCAAGACAAAGAAACTCCGTATCTGGGAGAGCGCCAGGAGTGCGAAGACCTTCATTATGCTTCGAAGCTCCGAAATGGGAAAATGAAAAATTGGATCGCACCGAGTACGTTTATATGATTAAATTTTTTATATTTTACAATTTTTAGACATGTTTTTAAACAGAAGCTGTATTGTTTCATTATTTCATTGAAAAGTAGACATCAAAACGAAAAAATGAGCCTTATATGACCTCTCTACGATGATTGTAAGTAGTAAAATGTAACTTTGAAAACAACGTGTTTCGGATCGAAAAAAATGAATCTTTCAAACAGTTTTTAATATTTCAGTCTAAAATTGTTGTTATTGTTTGGGACACAAAAAGAAGTACTTTCAGCAAGTTTGGTTAAAAAATATTTATTTTTGAGAAATTGACAAGTAAAAAACAAAAAAAAATTTTTTTTGGTTTTTTGCAATTTTTTCTGATATTTTGAANACTTATTTTATTGTAAAAAAATATAAAATTTTATCCATCTTCATTAAATACACCGAGTTAAGTTGAAAGCTACATCAACAGCACGTACAGACGTTAAAGCTCCGAAATGGGAAAATGAAAAATTGGATCGCACCGAGTACGTTTATATGATTAAATTTTTTATATTTTAATGGACGAAAATAATTATTCAGTTTTTTGTAATTTATCCGATACGCTTGCAGTAGTTCCAATAGTACGACAGAATTACAAGAAATTTTCGAGCAGGCAGAATCTAGGCGACAGTCGCGAGAAGAAAATCACAATTTGTTACGGACTTCTGTCAATAATCTGGCGTTAACCACCAGTGAACACGTAGATGAACGAGAGGAGGAAGTTTGGTCTAATCCGCACGAAGAATTTGTTTCTTATTTAGTAAATAACGAAATTTATTCTAATGAATCCAGGCAACAGTGAGTAGTATGAAATAGTATTTTGAAACATTTGGATCATTAAAAAAAAATAATAATAAAAAAACTAAAAATTTTTAGTCACAGGCATCCTTTAATCTGTTGGTTGCTGGCCCAATATGTAACCTGGAAGCCAACGATCTGGAGCATCATGATAGCTTTTATTTTTGGAGTCTTCGTCACTCGCGTCGTCTCATCGAGCGACCGCCACGGGCCTCCGATATCTTGGTGGTCGCTGGAAGAGATTCTCAGTCAGTATATTCACGTGGAAAATGTGGGGCCGCGGCCTCTATGAATTTCAGTTTTCTGCGACGATCATCGACCTTATATAATTTATTTATTTTTTTTTTTTTTTTGGAAGCGATAGCTTTTTGATTTCATAGAAAGTATTTGATGCCTTAAAATTCATTATTTAGTTATTAGTTTATTGCGGTATCCTCTTATTTTTTATAGAAATAATTTTATTTCGTAGTAGTACTTTATTTTTCTTTGTACCTGTGTATTTGTATCTATGTATGTTTATTTGTCGTGTTACTACAAACTATGTGTAACTTATAAGTGAGCGAAAGATCTCGAGCTATAAAGTATATAATGTACACAATGTAAAAAAGAAAAGAAGCGTATAGTTAAATGAGACGCGAGAGGTATGTGTAAATGTGCGTGCATATGAAGAGCGTCTCTTTGATGAGAGAGACGTTCATTATTATTTATCTTTTAAAGAAACAACTCTTTGACGTCTTCCAAGTACCTTTTTGTAAAGAAGGGACATCCATGTAAATGGCTGCCTATGGCGTTAGGTGGTTTTTCGTACTTTAGTTGAACACGAAACAGTTCCAAGCCAGTCAACTTGTAAATAGATTTGTGTAAGTACACGATCTGCGCGAATTTTGAGTAAAATAATCTACCATTATAAGTTTTTTTTCGTTCAAACTAGATGAATTTTCACTCATTCTATTATTGTAAAACCCAATAAAATTTCAACGAATAAACAAACGTTTCTATTTTCAATACAATTTTCTTCATTTTGTCTTTTTTCTCTTTAATAGTTTTTGTCCAACATAAATAACTGACTGATATTTTTTACTTCAAAAGATATTTTTTCTGGAATTTCTTTGGCATCAAGTGTAATTTTGAAAAATTGCGCGCAAGAGACACTTAAAATGTGTATCACTCGCGCAGACGCATCGCAGATGTGTCAACGATTAATTTTTTTTACTTTCAGTTCCAACCGAGTCGCACCCAAGAGTTCATGTAAGTACCAACAGTATTAATGATTTTACTCAATTCTTTATCGATTACATCGTAACTTCCTTTGATAAATACTTAAACTGGTCTAGATTTTTTTTATCTATTTAAAATTAATCGAACATTTGATGTATTTCTCGAGACACAATCAAATTAGCAGTATGCCATGTGCAGCACTAGTTTTAGGTTAGAGTGACATTCGACTCGCTACTTGTCAAACACGAAACCAAAATCTTCCAAAATGATTGAAAGCAAAGTACTTAGATCTGTTAAACAAGGAAATGTTGAACTGACAAAGTGTTCACTTGAATTTCTAGAATGGCGGACGCAGCTCCAGCCCAGCGCGGCGGTTTTCGCGGAGGATTCGGCTCACGTGGTGGTCGCGGCGGTCGAGGTCGCGGACGTGGTCGCGGTCGTGGCCGTGGCAAGGAAGACGCCAAGGAATGGGTTCCCGTGACCAAGCTCGGGCGCCTCGTTCGCGACGGCAAGATCAATTCTCTCGAGGAGATTTACCTCTTCTCTCTGCCCATCAAAGAGTATGAGATCGTCGATCACTTCATTGGGCCCCAGCTCAAGGATGAAGTGCTAAAAATCATGCCTGTACAGAAACAGACGCGTGCTGGCCAGCGTACTCGCTTCAAGGTGATAAAATGTTTGACCAGTAACTTCTCGTTCATACGTGTAAGAACAAGTACAAAAATTATTTTTTCCAGGCTTTTGTTGCCATTGGCGACAGCAATGGACACATTGGTTTAGGTGTCAAGTGCTCTAAAGAAGTAGCTACAGCCATCCGGGGTGCCATTATCCTGGCCAAGCTGTCGGTCGTACCAGTCCGCCGAGGATACTGGGGTAACAAGATTGGCAAACCTCACACTGTGCCCTGCAAGGTAACTGGAAAGTGTGGCTCGGTCCAAGTGCGTCTCATCCCTGCCCCGAGAGGTACTGGAATCGTGTCGGCCCCGGTCCCCAAGAAGCTTCTGCAGATGGCTGGTATCGAGGACTGTTATACTTCGGCCAGAGGCAGCACCTGCACCCTGGGCAACTTTGCCAAGGCCACCTATGCTGCTATCGCTAAGACCTATGCGTACTTGACACCTGACCTCTGGAAAGAGATGCCTCTGACCAAGACTCCGTACCAGGAGTATGCTGACCATTTGGAGAGAACCCATAGAGTCGTGAATACTGCTCGACCAACTGAAGTTGTATAAACATCCAAGATTGTGAAGGAATAAAGCCCTCCATGAAAATATTAAAATTTTTTTTTTATTAAAACCTTTTTCTCATTCACATCACTTGCTTATTAAATATATAACTTATTTTATTGTAAAAAAATATAAAATTTTATCCATCTTCATTAAATACACCGAGTTAAGTTGAAAGCTACATCAACAGCACGTACAGACGTTAAGTCATAACAATACATTGACAGAAATAATATACAATCGATACATATATCAGTGGAACGTCACTGATCACTGATTCGTCAGTCGTGACTATTACTGAGCTGCTGTAATTTTTCAGCGAGATGTTTACTAAAGGAATTTCTGTACTGAGGACTGATATAATCTAGTAGACTGTAGATAGTCTCGTAATAATCGAGATCGAAATCTGCGTTGTCTGTACAGTCGTGTTTATTACCAACGATGCTAAATCCCTGTGGTGACAGTCTCACGCAAAACTGGAGTCCCTCAAGAGTCGTCAAATTCAAGTGGATGGCTCTGTTGCTGCTTTGGATGGTAGAGCTCACCTGGAAGTTTCGAACGTGATGTTTTACGTCGTCTATGACAGCTTGAGCTTCGATTTTCCACTGCTCAGTGTCCAATACTTTTTCGTCCTGGGGATGCATTTTGTTTTGATTCTATTAACTTCTAAAAGTACACAATATCTGTTCAATTAAATTCTCATGAAGTACACATTGCCGTTAAATAGCTACCAATAATTAATACAAACTTTTTTTAGAAGTATTACCCCCAATAAAATACCATCCTCATCTATATATGTATATATAAATACTCAGTTATAAAATCTTAGTGTTTCATCAATTTGTCATACTATTCAAGTACCTACTGTAGTCAATACTGTACTTGAGTTTTCTGAAAAACAAAACAAAAACATTAGCGTGTTCAGATTTATAAAGGATAAAATTGGCATTAAAACATCAAAACAATAACCTTTTAGGTTTACCCATACAATTATAATTATTCTAATTATTAGTACTTTTAATTACCGTTTTTCGTAAAATTACTTAACTATTAGTGTATTACGTTCTAAGGTTATAATTAATTTTTTATAACTATACGAGAACAATGTATTTTCAGTCGTGACACTCGTAATGTTTTGTTTGATTTTTGTTATGTTGCGTCGCAATCTTATCGCGCATCTATACGTGCGTATAGCGTTTTTTTTAAAAATTCTGACAGCGCCATCTAGCGTTGCGGATTCCGCGGACTGGCTCAAACTATTTTCTAGGGGAACCGTCTTGAAAAAGTCCCTAGATTCTAGGGGATTTCGCCAGAAGTAAATCACTAGGTATTTATAGTCGGTCAAAAATCGCAGCCCTGCAGGGTCTAATTGAGAATATCAATTAAATATTAATGAGCATGTTGTGATTTTATAGGTCTTTATATATATCTCATAAGTTTGAATAAGTGATTTAAAACAGTAAACAAACATTCTCCAATCGTCATTGATTTAATGAACCATATATATTCTTATTGTTTGTAAAAAGTTAAAATTTAAAGAATACGCCACTAATATACTGTGAATGGGATGTACACACCTATTAAATTTGTCAAGTTTAAAGTTTAAGTAGGTTTTTAATGTTTATATTAGCTAACTTTCGGCCGCCGTATAACTATACATTAATTTTTAGGGTATCAGCGCCATCTAGCGTTTTGGATTCCGCAGACGGGATCAAACTATTTTCTAGGGGAACCGTCTTGAAAAAGTCCCTAGATTCTAGGGACTTTCAGCAGCAGTAAATCACTAGGCACACATATAGATATATAGTCGGTCAAAAATCTCAAACGTGAAGGGTCTATTTGCGTGCCTCGATATAAGTACGCAAATACGCAATACGGCTCGAGATTGATGGTCACATGTATACTAAAAATACTTAAATTTGACAAAAAAATGTAAAAATGTCACCCACACATGCATCGCGTTGGTTATTTGCGTAATATATTAAAGCACGCAAATATAGACTCCCAAAGCTCTGGCGTCAGTCAACTGTCGGTATAGCAGGGCAGATTTAGCGCCATCTAGCGTTACAAGTTCTGTACCAACGGTCAACATTAGATAAGAGAGAGACCTACAGTTCGAGCGATTTAGCCAACCGTCGGTACAGCAACAAAAAAATCTGCCCTGCTGTACCGACAGTTGACTGACGCCAGAGCTTTGGGAGTCTATATTTGCGTGCTTTAATATATTACGCAAATAACCAACGCGATGCATGTGTGGGTGACATTTTTACATTTTTTTGTCAAATTTAAGTATTTTTAGTATACATGTGACCATCAATCTCGAGCCGTATTGCGTATTTGCGTACTTATATCGAGGCACGCAAATAGACCCTTCACGTTTGAGATTTTTGACCGACTATATATCTATATGTGTGCCTAGTGATTTACTGCTGCTGAAAGTCCCTAGAATCTAGGGACTTTTTCAAGACGGTTCCCCTAGAAAATAGTTTGATCCCGTCTGCGGAATCCAAAACGCTAGATGGCGCTGATACCCTAAAAATTAATGTATAGTTATACGGCGGCCGAAAGTTAGCTAATATAAACATTAAAAACCTACTTAAACTTTAAACTTGACAAATTTAATAGGTGTGTACATCCCATTCACAGTATATTAGTGGCGTATTCTTTAAATTTTAACTTTTTACAAACAATAAGAATATATAAGGTTCATTAAATCAATGACAATTGGAGAATGTTTGTTTACTGTTTTAAATCGTTTATTCAAACTTATGAGATATATGTATAGACCTATAAAGTCTTGTCATGTTCATTAATAGTATATATATTTTATAAATATATACTAATTACTATAATTCTTATTTTTATTTTTACATATATAATGATACAATTGCCTTTGAAAACTGCACTCCATCCAATCGCAAAATCATGCGAGCAGATGTGTAAACTGAAAAAGATTCTTTTGGTCAATTTACATTACATAAAATTCATCACATAGGTATATTTATCTTTGCCGTTGTAGGAATAAAAGTTCGTTTTGTTGATTGTATCACGGCTCCTTTGCCGAACCAATCGCAGTCTTATCGGAGGCATTGCTCTTCACGGCAACGTTCTTGAGCTGCTCGTCAATTGTTCCAGTACTCAGCCTTAGGTAAGTCTGAAAAATTTGATCCACCCGTATTGTACAAACGAAAAAATAACTTTATCACTTTTTTTTCAACGACAAAGCAGAAAAACACTCACCTCCTCGGCGGCCTTCCGCAAATGCTCGAGAGCCGTATCTCCGTCCTGCCCAGCCATCCTGAGGAACAGCCCTTCCTCCTGGGCAAGCAACGAACGCGGCTGTCCGTACTCTACCACTCGACCTTCGTCCACGACAACCACGAGGTCGCTGTCGATGACCGAGTCCACAGTCAGCACCATGCCCTCGGTAAACTTGGTGCGTATCATCTCCCTCAGGGTCGACGTTGGCCGGCACCTCGTCCAGAACCAACATCCTGGCTCGCTTCACCAGAGCACGTACAGGACACAGTAGCAGTTGTCTCTAGCCTGATGTGCAGCAAATTAGTTACGGAATACCACTGCTTCTGTCGACTATTGACAACTTGAGAAAAATTCTGATACAACCCGTTTCTCTTTTACTATCTAAGTATTTGTTTGGATATCAAAATTAATTAAAGTGTGTATATATACATGTCATGCGTGCAATACTTTCATGCACCCTCGCAAAGAGTTAACTTACCCAAAAGTATTATCATAAATCTCCATAAATGTGTAAAAAACTTTGTATGGATCAAGTAAATAAGTACAGGTACGTTGATATCTGGAAAATCAACGTATACAGCAATACTAGAAGTTATATCATTAAACTCTCGACGCTAACCAACTCGAATCGGAGGAGTAAGAAAATGCCTTACGTAAAACTTCAGGTGGTAGTGCAACCTTTTTGCGTGACGATATTTTTTAATAATTAGTATGACTATTCTAAAAAGACACACGCCTGTGTCATCCTTATCCTCACGTCTCAGATATGGATGCGTGAACCTTCGTCATCGAGCTGATAATTTGCGGTGTTGTCCAGCTGTGGACAATCGAAGATCCCGTTAACGAAGAAAGGCGCTATAATTATGGACTCAAGAAAGAGGCGAGAAAGGACATCAACGCATTTGTCCTTTAAATTTACTACAATCATCCTCCCCACAGAAGAATCGACTTAAAAACAATTTCTCGCTCGCACGTATATGTGAAGGGGAGCAACAACGAACGGGTACATTGACAAAAGGATTACTTATATAGTACAGGTCGTGCTAACTACGAAACTGGGCCACTTGAAAGAGATACATTGGAATCAATTATAGATGTGCCACCTACCCACGTACAAGTACGTGTACACCTGTTAATTTGTGAAATCGAGAGAAGACCACCACCACTTCGTTTGGTCATACATTATCTTATGACTCATAACACGTAGCTCTATGCGAAGCTCTGCCACCATTAGTTATGTGAACTCTCGAGTTTTTCCTCCAGTGCTTTACTTGTATACTTATTACTATCACGTCAAACAAACAAAAGCCCTTGTCGTCACCGTTGCTCAATCCAATACATGTTTACTCCGATACTCCAAACTAAATTATGAGATAATACCCGGTATTACCGTGTAAACACACGGGGCAATCAAGTCATCCTCAGCGCTACAAGTACAAGAGAAGAAAAAGGGATAAACAGATGGAGAAAGACAATAAAATCGAGGACCGGATCGTCGGATACAAATGAAATCTGCTCTTCTCTGCTCATTGTCCATCACGTCGTAAAGAGACACGATATGGGTAGATTCGTCCCAAGGGGAACGTCGAGACTGTGTATATTTCCCGCAGGACGATCAGGGTATAATACCTACCTATACATTCATTCAATATCCGCCCCTTGAAATACAATACATGCAGTCTATACGGTATAGGTACTAAAATCACTCTAGAATTACATACGTATGTGTGTACCTATAAACTACAATGAAAAGAATGAAAAATGACGTGTGGACATGGGACTCCCAACCGCTGGCAGTTGTGTTCTCTTGGTCGAAGCGGAATCAACCATATCCTAAAATCCATTGTCATGTGTAATACAAGTATATAATGTATACCAGAGAGTCCAATTGATTGTCAGATTCAAACAGAGGAGATGCCTGTATTTTTCATTTTACTCTCACAGCGAATCGTCCGGCTCTGTGTCGCGGTGCTGCGGGCGAAAACCGTGATCTAGCTTCCTTATTAGCGCCTCCCCGCTCGGCTGAAAAGAGAGTCTCTTCTCGCGCAATTCTCTCTCTTTTTTTTTTTTTTCTGCTTTCCCCCTTTCAGCTACAACGAGTACGTCTACTACCAGCAGTAGATCTACCATTGTTCCTTTTCTTGCTATTAGTTCCTACGCGTATACATATGTATATAAACCCAACACCGTCATCCCTTCTTTTCCGTGCACTGCACTGGCCGATGTCCTTTGTGCAAGAAGGCCGTACTTTTCGTCGTCGCCCGTATTATTACGCGCGCCACCCTCGGTGTATACATACCTTCCTTCGTCCAGGGTACACATAGTCTTCAGCAGCGTCCCTTTTCCACCGAGACTCTTCCTCATCTTCTGCATCCTGCTACTGCTCTCTCTCTCTCTCTCCCACATTTTTGCGCTTCCCTTTGTTCGGCTCCTTTTTGTATACACGACGACGTCGTCGTCGTCGTCGCAAGTTTTCACTTCGTTACACTTTTCAGCTGGTACGTGGCATTGCACACAACCCTCTTCCTTCGTTTTAAGGAATTGCGCGATGGGTGGGAGGGACTGTGACAATAATTGCACGTGCCCTTTGCCAGGGGTGGGGGGGGGACGATTAGGGGGATGTGTTCCCATTGAGCGATCTCGTCACTGTAGTTACATCGTCTTCGTTGCAGCTGCACAGATAATAATAGTGTTTTCGGTCTAATCAATGGTTCGGAATGCAGTTGACCGGCAATTATTTTCTTCCCTTCACCAGATCGTCGATTTAGATGGGAGGCCGATCTATGAGCTATTGCGAGGGAGAAAAAAAAACGTTATCTTAATGATACTTTTTTTCTTTCACTGGTGAATGGATAAATTGTGATTTATACATCGACTTCCTGTGCTGGTATCTACATGGGTACGCATGAATCGACCCGTACATGAGTTATGATGGCTGATGAAAAAAGAAAGAAAAGAAATCGTAGCCAACGTGCTTCACTTTGATTTCAATTAATCTCTCTTTAATTGACTCCACGTCACGGAATCACCGTTTGATGGACGAAGCATGATGTACCGATCATGGGTCCCTTGGTGTATAATTGCCGTGCACGCGCCTGAAAAAAAAAAAAATTTACCTGCCGATGAATTTGAAAAACTTTTGAGAGGAGACGAAAAGTTTCTTAACATTCAAAAAGCGTTAGTCAAAACGCGGATGAAAAAAAAAAAAAAAAACTACCTTACAACACACGCGGAGCGCATTAATTTCCCAAAATACTTACTCATCCATCCATCAATCCGATTTTCTTTCGGCTTCTCCTCTCAAACACTCGAGTATAGCATCACTATCTGGGTCCGAGCGCCTCGTCGTCATCGCCACCATCATCCCGGTCCTAACTCACCGCGCCCACCCGCCCAAAGACTCGTATTTCTGCTCTCATGAGAAATCGCGATCGCGATATAAAGGCAGCGGCCCGTTTTTTTCCGATAGCATAAATCCCCGGGGGAACAATATCTCCTTTGCGCGCACGTGCGTGTGGACGTCACCTTCTAGTGTATGACCCCGAGATTTCGCCCTATGGCCAGTATAACGCGCTTATGGCCCGAGAAGAAGGAGACTCGGAGCCGATCGATTTCCCGCGTAAAGAAGTGTATTGTACACCTAAAGGTTTTACCAATACTCCCGCTATAAAGATTTTCCATGGATATTATTGTTTCCATAAAAAAAAAAAAAATATATATCGCTACAATTCAATCTTTCCCCCAAATTGTATGAACAGTACCACGAGGAAAGACAAAAGTAACAATTTTTACTTGCTGATCGTTTCAAGAGTAATTGTTTCAATTTATTTTTGTACAAAATTTCAATAATTTCTCACACAGAACCGACATCAGGCGAAATCCGTGCCCGAAACCTTTTAATACAAAAACTTTGGAATTTTGGCACGAGTCCTCCTCGCCTCCAGGACGACTACACACCCCGCACGTAAGAAATACACACGTACAGGCAGCTGCCGCTGTGCTAAGAGAAAGATGTACACACACACACACACACATGTACGCGTGCGATAGATAAGACGATAATGAGGGTGTGGGCAGGAGGGGGTGGAATTTTCGGCGCCCACCCGCCAGCCAACAACCGAGCACTTTATTTTACCTATATACACACGCGCACCGCTCGCGGTACGAGCTCCACATAATAATGTCTCGGCTTCCTTTTGGCTCTCGGCTTCACCCCCATCCCCCTCTACTCTGTAGGTACGAAGAAAACAAGTGCGCGAAAGCTCTCCGCGCTTTTACGCACTGCGGAGTCGGGGCCAGGACGCGTTATCGCGCCGATTTTTCGTTATCGTCCTAGTTTTTTGTTGTACGTCACGTACACGTGGGTCGTGACGGAAAAAAAATCGGCAGTCACGATCTCGGGGATTGATTGCGGAGGGTTGATTTTTTGTTTTCGCCTTTTTTTTCACCCCTTGGTTATTTATTTATTATCATTATTATTATTATTTTTTTTTTCGCATATACCTCGTTAGGTGTACTTTCACTGAGTTAGGGGTGAGAGAGAGAGGGTGTTGCCTGTGTGCATGTAGGGACATTTTTTTTTTTTTTTCTATTCCGGATAACGAGAGTCAAAGAGAGAGAGAGAGGGAGAGGGGGGGGAAGGCATCAGGAGAGGGGTGCAAACGTAATGGATGTCTTCATAAATATTTCAGCTAATGCAGCGGAGGCACAGTTGCGGAACGCGCCCTCGGCTTTCGTTTGGATGTAGGTACCTATATACGTAGGTTGGATACGTATCTCTGTTTTCGGGTGCGCGCGCGTATTATATATTGTATGCTGGCGCCTTGCCTCGGATCCACTCTCTTGCCCCTTTGGTTGAAAATTTAAGCTTTTGTTCCTCCCTGCACTTCCACCTACGATTGACATTTTTTCCACTTCCCCCCACCCATGACTTTTATTGAATTAACGAATATTTTTTAAGTTTCCTTGCAACTCGCAAAACCATATCGTTTACGTAGTAAAAGCAGATGAAAGAATTTTTGGTCGTTGCTCATGACCAAATCAATCCAAGACGAATCGAACGAGAAGAACAGACAGAAACTTTAACGCAACGCTCGAAGGAGAAAAAAGGGAATATTTACACAATGGTACTAGCCAGATGCCTAACACGCACGCGTTATGGCCATCCGAGCGCACGTTACACTGCCCTAAGAGAGAGACCTGTCAATTTTAGGTGCAGCTGTGATTTTTCAAAGAAACTTCATCACCCATGTATTTATAATAGGTACACAGATGTATAAGATCGGCAACGTGATTTTGCTATTCTCACGTGTAAATACACATGCTTCTTTGGCGTTTTTTCATTATTCGGCTCGAGGTATGGACCGTCCGCGCAGTTATTAGCTCAACGAGTCTCCGTTTCGTTAGTTCCTTTCGAAAAAAAAAAAAAAAAAAACACGCGTGTGTATATTCTCGAGATCAGCTAGATAATTGCAGAAATCACAGAGGATATAGGTGCACATGTACGTGATTTGTGCGATGAATGGTTGCCCGGTGCAATTTTCCCGCGACTGATTCCGATGTATATTTTCCAGCGGCAGGTTGTCGGAAAGAACGGAATGAAAAGATAATTCCGTTAGCGCGCCAACTGCAATCGGCCAGGGGAAAAACGAGAAGGAGGCGCGACCGTACTCGGGCAGTGCTAAAAAAAAAAAAAAGAAAAAAGAAAAAAAAAATCGGAAGAAGAGAGGAAGGAGACGAATTCCATTTGCCTAAATTACAGATCAAAATTTCCTCGCGGCCTCCGGAGAAATGACTATTATTACCATAATTGAGGAGAAATACCAGGGGGGGAAGCGCCTTTGCGAGTTTCTCTGGATTGATTGCGTCTTTCGGAGTGTAGCATCTCTCTCTTTCTCCTCCTCACGCGGGAGAGCACCAACAGAACCATTCGCCTTTTCTCGCTTGGCTCTTTCACCTTCTGGTTTTATCGCCTGCGCAAAATTTTAATTTTTGTTTGTTTTTTTTCGCACTTACACTCTCACCGAGTTCCTATACCTCGTTTGGTTACTTAACCCGCTGCTCTATGAAAATTCCTGGCAAAGAAAACAAATACAAATCACATTGGATCATACACATACATGGCAAACCTTAATTTTGGCTGCCATATCGTGAAAGAATCGTTAGAAAAAAAAGTGACAAAAAATCTCGCCGTCGCCAAGTTGAAAAACAAAGCTCAGCCCTACCGGTCCGTGAGAACAGACGAGGAAAAAAAAACCAGCGTTGGACCTTCCCTTTCTCCGATTTCCCATTATACGAGCAAAAGCAGCTCAAAGAGAAGTGTATAGGTAAACATCCGATCTAGGAACGCCCCGGCCCGCGGCCAATTTAAATCAACCAGCCAGATGGTCGTAGCTCCAGGCTGATGGAAACAGAGAAGGAGACGCAGTCGTACACCCCATGCGCGTATACCGATCTTTGCCCGATCGCGTATACCTTGCACAGCCTCCTTCGAAAATTCAAAAGCTCCGTATTTTCGGGGGGTGGGTGAGCCAATGCCGTAACCATCATAATGGTAATAATAACAGTATATGCCTCCCTCTTCCCCGGCCAGGCGCACGTCATATCTCTTATTCAAAAGCGGCGCGTTGAACCCACGTCAAACATTGCGTGTACTATACGTACGTATATATACCTGCACCCACCCATCTATAAGGGGCCCGATTCGGTAAGAAATCCCGGGGAGTCGGGTGGCGTTTCCTCCCCCGTTCTCGTTGTCCAAGTAGTCCTTGGACTCCTTACGCGCGCAAAAAAAAAAACATAGAACAGTCAAGATCTATATGGGTAGCAGTGTATGGTCAGGCATGCACACGTGTATCGTGTGAGCCGTGCGTGTATAAAGGAAAAGAGAGTGCAAAATGCTCCGGAGGAGGATGAGGAGGGACGAGGTGGGTAAAAAGAGAGGCGCACGCGTTCCCCGAGTATCACGCCACCGCGGTGGAATCGAGGTGAGCGACGAATCGCAGCAGAGCTCAAGCTCGGCGTCTCTTTCGCACTCGCTGGCATTTCTGCACCCTCCTCTCTTTCTCTCAGTTCCCTCCCCCGTGCGTTTGCCGGCACGACGACGACCGGCATTGCCAGCAATGCCATGCGTAAATGCCATACATATATACACACGAGAGCCAAGCGAGACAGACGGAACGGGCATAGATAGATAGAGGGAAGAACGGCGCGCGGGGCCTTTTGCATCAACGGCGAGCGCCAAAGTGCCGCGCGCTCGAGTAATAGTCTGGCAGTCGCGTGGTTCCTTTCTCGCTGATCGGCAGCAAACTGTCTTACCCATATACTTACGTACACTTTAACTATGGTGTACTCCAACTGACGCTCTTTTACGCGGTAATTCGCCGAAAGTTGCCGATTTACTGGTCGCTTGTGTCTTTTTTCACCAAAGTGGAGCAAAAGGTGCCGATTTTTCATAGATTGGTGACGTTTTTTTTTTTGTTTTGTTTTTTTCAAAACAAATTTATTACATCCACGCGAGGGAACCAGTGAATCTTCAGGTGCGATCGGTATGAAATCGGTTGAGTTTCGGTACTTCGATAGTCACGGGGAAAGATCGGCACCGATGTCCGTGTGAATACACGAATACGTACTTACTGGAAAATCGGCGACGGAGCGCGTATCGCGGTTAACACAAATCGGCGGCGATCGTTGATCTCGCTATAAGAATTGCAAATGGGGAAGGTCGTCAGTCACGTCGTCGGGGCGGAAAATTCACTGGTTCTAATTCAAAAGTATAACGAAGCGTGCGCCGGGGCGTCTGTTTCCCGACTCGTTGCGTTGCTGCATAGTTATTGTAAAAGGGAGGCGAGCACTTTTATTTTTTTTTTTTTTTTGCCCGCTGTGCGCAGTGAACGATTTCGCGGCTGTGGTCGATTTTACATTGCGTTTTCCGTAAACTGATAGTCCAGTGGTCGATTGGTGCGATGATGAAATCACGATTTTGATTTTTGTAGTAGACTTCTCGGTAAAAGGAAATCAATGATTCAGCCTTGATGGTAAACGAAAAAAAAAAAAAAAAAATCATCGTGCTATCAAAACAAGCAATTAAAACCGACCGATTTAATTGAGAGTTTGATAAACGAACGCTCGGGAGCGAGAAAATTTTCCAAATCACGCAACGCGAAAGTGCAAGTGTCGATTATCGCGTGATCTTCGGATACTGTAACGATTGGACTTGACGTTGCCTCTGTGGATGATCTTTGCACGATCTTGAAACAAACAAAAAAAAATAAAACCGATATTGTGACGCTCTTTTTTACGTGATTTTTGCATAACGTTTTTTGTATCGGTGCGATCGATGCAGCATCCAATAAAAAAAAAAAAGAAAAAAAAAATTACCTCCATAGAAGCGTAATCACATATCATTCAGTCGTCAAGCAGCACTCGACAAGTCAGCGAAAAGTCAATCCATCCGCGCGAAAATACACGCGTCGTTTATCCATCGTGACTTTCGGATCTGCTGGCCTCTCGATCGGCAACAAAAACCCGCGACAACAGCGCCAGTGTGACAATTTTTTTTTTTTTCGCGCTAACTTGTGTACTTTTTTGTTCCCATTGAAGAATACGACGAGGAGGAGGAGGAGGAGGCCAAAGTGCGATTGGAAAAACATAACGACACACGTAGAGGACAACTGCGTGCTGTAACTATCCAGTATATCCACAACATAGTCGGCGAGAACGGAGGATTTACGTAATTTTAGGTTTGTTTTCCTATGCCACCTATACATGTCTGCGGTTTCGACGTTGTCTTTTCCTTTTGCTCCATTTTTTTTTTCCTTCGGAGAGTCTATAATGCACATCGGCTGGTATACGTATAAGTTGGTATAGGGGAGACGGTATTTTTGCGTCTGGGGTTCCTGCTGCCCCGGAGGGAGGGAGCAAAAAATCGGCAGAGGAACGCGCCGGACAACCGGTTCGGATAGCCTCTATTGGACCTTTTTTTGTTTACCCATCTTCTTCTTCCCCAGTTTTGTTTCCACCCTGCGATCGGCCCTCGTAATTTTAATTGCCGCTTCTCTGCCACTGTTAACGTTCACAATGGAATTTATACCGGTACCTCTGAAATATTCGCCGAGCCCACCCTGATGGTATACGCTTCACGCGGGAACAATGACTTTCCTTTCCCCACGCTTTTCCCTCGGAAAACTGAATTTGACGAAAGCTCGCTAAAGTACTCGAAACTCGGGACTACGATAATGTCACCGGGTTTTTCGACCCCCAACCTCCTGCCCCGGTGTGTTTGGTGCCATTCATAAACTGAGCGTAAAAAAAAAACAATCCGCGCAACCCCCTATCGGTGTCACTAACTTTGAAAACTGTACGTGTTGCTCTCGCAATGCACGACAGCTCGAATGTAATAACGTACAACGCAATATTAAGTTGTTTTTGTTTGCCATTCCAATCGAGAGCCGAGATCCTATCAAAGGGGATCACTCGTTGAATAGACAATTATGTTCGACGCAGCCTGTCGTAATACTTGGCTAGGTGCATCATCTACAGCTGTGGGACGCGAAAAATTTGTTACATGTCGAGAATCTGCGGTTGAATTTTCTCGATCGAAACGAGACGCTGACTATATAATATGTTCTGTTTCTCGTATCGCGTGGATTTTTACTTTGTTTTTTTACTGCTTGGTGTCGGCGAAAGACTTTTTTTTTTTTTTTTTTTAATAAGATTTCAAAGAAGTAGTTATTAGCACAGTTGGAGCTCAATCGGATACATTTTTGACACCGTCATTGAAAATGACCCATCTTGTACTTACCGACAAAAATATGCAGTGGAATCTACAATGGTTTTTTTTTTTTTTTCAAAAACTCATTGTAAACGTAAATTAATTTAAACATCTTTTCTTTTTCGCTCCAATTTCGTCATTTAATTTTAATCTAATATTAGCACCAGACAAAAACTTAACGTGTAAATGGACAAGTAGCATATACGTATAGTCGGGAGGGTGAGTTTATAATTAAACTACATGGGCCGTTTCTGTGTTTACGCGCCGCAGAGCGTAATATCATACGCACGGATCATGGAAAAGAAGGGAGCAGTGGTACACCATACAGTCGGTAAAATTACACGTGAGTTCGTTTAACAATCATAATTATTTGCACGCTGCAGTATATCATCAAAGCAAAAACACGTGGCGTTCGCCAAATAATGGAATGTTTAATGCATGTCGCCTTTTTTACGCGTCGCGAACAATGGCTCGACAGTTCGGCCGTGTAACAGAGGTATGCGCAAGAGTCGATCGTTCGGTAAAAATTGACATGTCACATCAATAATAATTAGCGATCAATTCCAAAGCCGAGAGAAATCAAAGAGAATTATCAACTCCCACCTATACTGCCGATGTGTATTCTTATCAGTTCACGGGTAGAAATCACGTTGCGAGATCTTATCGGTAGTCCTCGTTTTACATAATTATCCCAATTAGTAGGCATAACCAATGAACCGTCAAAAAAAAAAAGAAAAAAAACAAGACGACGACGAAAGAAAAAGCTCCCGAAAGTCTGACGGGCCGACTGACTCGAGCGTGAAAGGAACATCTCTCGCGTCACGCCAATTTAAATCACTCACTCCCCCTCGAATGAAAAAAAAAAAATAAAATAAAAAAGAGGATGAGGTATGGTAATCGAGAGCAATGTAGCATCACCCGCTACTAGCGTATTACGTTTAATATACTGTCCCTAATAGGCGTATCTGTGTAAACGAGTCAAGGGAGAAAAAAGGACCTCGGCTGGTAGCGGAGGATCAGAGATCGGCAAAAGGTGCACTGGCCGGCGGATGAGAGGAGAGGAGAGAGATATTATACACAGTCTGGACTCCTTGGAGGCTCGTTTGGGCGTACAGGAACCAAACCACCTGCCGCTCTTCCCCCCCCCACCCTTTTCTCTTTCCCCGTACTCGACCTCCTCTTCTCTTCCTTTTTCCATTCTCTCTCTCTTTTTTTTTTTTTTTAATCGCTTTCTAGGGATCACACGCACACGTAACACACGTAAGAGTAACGAACGACGCGGCTTATCCCTCAACAAAACTGTTTTTTCCTTTTTTTTTTTACATCCACAATGTACAAGCACGAACATGGTTTGCCCGATGCTCAAATGAGCGTAGGTCGTTGTAGTATACGTAAGTTACAGTTGATACTCACCGGCTCTCTTTAGTTGCTGCTTATACATTTTTTACCCTTTCGGTGCGAAGGAGAGGAGAGTCCTTCCTTCCTTCCTATCCTTTGTTTTTTTTTGTTTTTGTTTTTTTTATTTTTACATTTTAATGTGCGTCACATTACTCGCAGATGCGACACACGCGAGGGGAAGGCTTTATTCGTATGCGAGGGTGTCGCGACGCTTGCCTTCACCCTCGTGGATTGTTGTTGCTGTTTTTTTCTCGTTTTGATCGATCGGTCTTTTAGGGACGGTTGGAGATTTTTTTTTTTTTTTTTTGTTTTCCTGCTACGGTCACGTCGCGAATTGAGAGTTACGCGATCGGGGAGGAGGAATCATTTGGGCTTTTTAGGAATCGCGAGATGATTTTTGTTTTAACAAAAAAAAAGAGTTTACCAACACACACTATTCTCTTCGATACATTAATTTCCTCCTCGGTTGATGATGCAATCCAATCCAGTAAGTACACTCGCGTTCCATCGTATGATTCTCCAATGGACATTTTTTTAGCTTCTTTTTCGATTTGCCAACTAGCGGCGTTTGGTTGAAAATGCAGATGCGTCTTCAATTGGATTATAATATTACCTCGTGCATAGGATAGCAGTCCGGAGTATGATGCTCAGATGAATGTACACCGTCCCTGCGCTGATAAGTCGATCGAGTAAATGTACCCGACTGTTGTGATAATAGCGTATTTTTAATGACCCTTTGCTCGAATCTAGACTTGATTGAATACGAGTAACTTTTAAAATTCCCCGCCTCGATCGCGAAATTTTATTATTATTCTCTGCTGTCGCTGGTCCAAGACACACAAGACACACACTTGTTCGTTCGGAACAGCGGAATGATTGTCGATGACTAATAACCCCGTAATCTGATGATCCCATTGGTTATCAAACCGAGTGGGATAATCGAGTAGTACAGGCATGTACTACGAAAATAATCTTAATTTATCGAGAAAAAAAAAAAAAAAAAAAGATGATTAAATCATTTACGTGAACGATTGTGAATAGATGTTTTTTTCAGAAAATATAAGCCGAGGCCAGCTTTCGGAATTTATATTTCCCAATGCGATTGATCGATCGTTCGGTCTATACGCGCATTTGATGTATAACATGCAAATGAACGAGCGTAATCGTCGTTTCTTCCTTTTTTTTCCAAGATTAATACATAATACGGTCATTATAGAATATACGTACGTATAACGATTCGAGAGGGGAAATTGCAATCGAAAAAGTAGCGCAAACACCTTCAATGTCTCGGAGGTCCTAGTATTGAAGCTTTAATCGACTCAGTGGAAAAGCTCGGGAAGCAATCATCCAATTACCCTAAAAAAAAGAAAAAAGTTGACCATTTACAAAAAAAAGGCACTTTTCGCGTAAAAATTTTGCCGCGCAAATGAGAGGGTTATTAGCTCGGGCCGGCCGAAAAAAAACGCCCATTGTTCTCCATCCCTCGCGCGCGCGTAGGTACGAGTTTTCGCGCATTCAGCTCGCAAATGCAAATATACATGGGGCAGAGTGCGCTTCGAGAGGAAAGACGGACGGGAGCTCGGCCAAATTGACCCAACGCATACAATGACAATAGTAACAATGGTAATTACAAAGGGGGATGGGGGTAAAAAAAAAAAGGCCCAGGCTCCCCCCCCTTTTATTCTTTTTGCCTTTGAAGGAAAAATTTTTCGGGCAGCCGTACGCACCGCCGATTTGCATAATCGCGCGAAATAAAAGCCATCCAGCGGCGCGCCGGGAAATGGATTACTGCCTCGCTCGGCTCGCCAGAAAGAAGGGAGATTCCCCATAGCGTGAGCTGAAAAATTAATGCTCGGAATTCCAGCTTCCATCACGACTATACGCGGGTGGGGGGGACGAGATTTTCGGTCGGACGATGAGCGATGCCGTGTCGACGAAAATTGAATAAACATGGGCTGGATCGCGTAAACATTAAAAGGGCACGCGACAAAGGATACACCCGCGGATTTGTATGGCTCCAGGGGGAGGTGATGGATTTCGAATTAGGAGAGCGGGGCACCGTGAGCTTCGCTCTTATGGGCGCGATTCCCCGAAGTGGTCCACGGGATCTCTTTTATGCTGTGTGTATATCATATGGGAGGCTTATCTCTCCGAGCTAAGAGCGAAATTTACGAGTTTGAAAGACATTATTGTTGAAACGCATACATTTACATCCGAAGAGCTGTGTCGTCCAGTGGTTGGTTGTTGTTTTTTTTCATTTTATAAACTATCGTCTCAGGTATGGAAGACGAGAAAAAAAAAAAAAAAAAAAAAAAAAAAAAAAATTAGCTCCAAAAACTTGGTCCTCGACGGCAAACGTTATGACAAATTTCTGTAGTTGATATTTCTTTGCCACAGGAGGGAAAACTCGTGAAAAATCTTGATTGTGCATGTGAGGTTTTCAAGCATCGGACACATGTTCTGTAACATCGGAAGGATGACCACATAAATCAGATTTTTTTATCAGTCACCTATACTTAACATGCCACGAGAGCAGCAGCGGAACGAGTAAAAAAAGGGAACGACTCTCCC